GTGCATTCGTAAATGACGCTAATTATTTTCACCAAACGACATGCACTGCTTTGAAGTGCATCGCTAGATGTACGCAGGGAGGAATAACAAAGGAGTATGGATGAGGTTGTTGTTGAAATATTGTCTTCATCAGTCATGCGCAGTAACACATATTAGTTTACTTTAATGACATCAAGTAAAATTTTCATGTAAAATTACAAATTAATTAAATGATGGATGATTGCAAAATTTAAAAATAAAAATGAGATGATGAACTAGAAAATTGAACAAACGTAGAAAAGAATTTCACAAAATCGAAAGGAGTGAAAGCGGAATGTAGGAAGTATAGAATGGAATGTAAAAAAAAAAGGTTGGTGATCACCGCGTGAGATGAGATCATCAGCATAGCCCCATCATTTCTTCATGCTTGCTTGGGCGCGTATTTTAAAGAGGCATGCAAGGAAAGAATTTTTCTATCTTATTTATTTGGAATTTTTTCATTTTTTTTTCTTACAATAAAAAGACTTCTGTTTACAATGCATCTTTCTTCATAAGTTTCTTCAATGTGCACCATGAATTTGCATGGTTCCATGTTCGTTTGTTTATTTGTGTAACATTCTAATTCCAATATCTTAGAATTTTATTTTCAATTATTATTGAAAATAAAATTTAAAATTGCAATTGAAAATTTGTAACATTTTAATTCCAATATCTTAGAATTTTATTTTCAATTATTATTGAAAATAAAATTTAAAATTTTAATTGAAAATAAAGTCACCCAAAATTATTTTAATCGTTAGTCATGTTCGGCTTTTGCACTGCTAGCAAATCAAATAGACAATTAATAACGTTTTTGGTACTTTTTAAAATTTGCACACGTGTGCGCGGCTGTAAGGAGATGGAAAATGCGTCTCTAAATATTCATTATCTTCTTCCTTAATCTCAAAAATTATGCCCGAATATTTTATTATATTATCTTCTACGATTATAATATGAATGACATTTTATGTGCATGTGTGTTTATTTGTATAAGTGTGTGTGTGTGTGTACGTTTGTCTGTGTGTGTGTTGTGTGTGTGTGTGTGTGTTTGTGTGGTGTGTAGTGTGTAGAGGGGAAAAAGAGAAAGAAAGAAAAAGAAAGTGAGAGAGAGAAAAAGAGAAAACTCTAAGAATAAAAGAAGAGTAAGGAAGATGGGAAAGAAAGAGAAAATGATAGGGAAGAGAGAAAAAAGTTATTTGTGCCTGAAAATTAGCATCATTACAATCTATATTTTTTACTCTGCATCGTCACGATAGCCTAAATAAGTTTTTTTTAATGTTCGTTTTTAATGAGACAGTTTGTTTCTGTCAGAAATGTTTGTCCACAGCGACGAGTATCGCTTAAAGCAGCTTCGACGGAACGTTCAACAGCCCTTTAGCAAAGAGATTTTGAAACGAATTACTCGATAATTCACTGGACTGTGAACCTTTTTTTATTTTGTCATCTCGGTCTGCAATTGTACTAATCAAGTCGTCCAAACGTTGATTGTCTCCTATCCAGTCAGCATACGTTAACAAACGCTTTCCAGCAGTTAAAAAGTCGAAGTCCTCTCAACCATCTGAAGTTGTAGCTTCCCACCACCCACTTGCTCTCCACATAAATGATGTACACCAAACGATCGGGATTCACATTTGGTTGGCTGGTGAGTGTTGGATCGATCTCTCATAGAAAAATAAAAAAGAAATTAAAAATAATAATTCACCTGATTGTTTTAAGAAACTGTGAAAATGTATATACATATACAAATACAGAAATACAAACACATGAACGTGACAATGCTCATAAACAGTTATTTTTTTGCATGCCTGTTTGCGCCACATAAATTTACGTCTGCCTAGATACTCATATTAAAGATACAGGCGAGTATTATATGTGTATGTGTACACATAACATATAATACATACATATATATATATGTATATGTATATATATATATATATATATATATATATATATATATACATTATAGATATATATGTATAATGTTATGGGTGAGTGTTTGCATGTATAAATACTGCTGCGCTCATGATTTCCATTTCAAACATCTGCCAACAAAATTCTCAGTGGAAAATGACAGACATCAAATTGAAATGTTTTTTATAGAACTTTTTTTTGGCCATTTTTCCTTATTTTTTAGCGTAACATCGAAAAATGTATTTTGTGAACATTTTTTATTACAACATTGCTGCTATGAATCCACGTGAAGTGATGATTTATTGATGGTGACGGTTCTGATGACGTCAACGATGACGATAGTGATGACGTCACCGATGATGATGATGATGATGATGATGACAACAACGATGATGATGATGATGACGAAAAACATGGTGCAATCAACTGGAGACCTTAGCCACACACAAGTTAGTAAACAGTAATTAGCAATTAACAGTATCATAAAAAGTATAACAATTTTTTTAAGTAAAAATCATTATAGAACATCAGGAAGAATGTTTTACAATTGGGTCGTTAAATCTTTATTAAAATTGTGACATAAAACTTCAACAAACAAACTAAACAACAATAAATATACTCTTGATAATATGAACAGCACAATAACGAATGATAATAATAAATTTCAACAATTAAATAAAATCCCTCTAAATATAAAAGTATATAAGGGTTCTATATTATTAAGAAGTTCATTTTCTTTCTTGGAATCTTTTTTCATGTTTTGTTTTTACGCTTCAGCAAATAGACTTGTTTATTAAAATATTAATATTAGCAGTATTGCCAATAAAACTTGCATAGAGATAATTTCTTTTTGACGTTTGCAATTAGTAAGTATTAATTTTATTAGTGAACTTTGAATTGAAAGCGGATTTTCCTACTAACAAATCTATCGACAAACTTGACCCTCTACAATTTAAAAGCATCAACAATATAGATTATAAAAAATTTGATAATGAAATCTCGATCAAATTAAAAAATATTATTCAGATGAGTACAACCAACCCAATGAGTTTGATCACCCATCTTGATGACCATCCTCATCATCGTCATCGTCGTCTTCATCCTTTTTATCTCCATACACTAAACAAGATGGCCATAAGCGATACTAATCAGCAATATCAGGCGACATCTGACGACGGTTCGTGAATGTTTACTGCTTATCTGTCGCTAATTAATTAACTAATTTACATAATTAATTAATTAATTGAATGACTGAAATTATAATTAATTAATTAATCAATTAGTTAGTTGGGTGGCACAACTGCCTAACGGTAAAGTGTCTTTCAAAAAGTTTAACGAAACAAAAAAATTGTAGGAATAAATAAAAACATAAATGAATGAAATAATAAATACATGGGAATCGAAATAAAGTAATGGGAATCTTTAAAGTAATTTCATATTTTTATAGGTTAAAAATTTTGATGTGAAACTTCCACAAATATATTATTGATTTATTTATAGTTTTAAACGACTTTTTTGTCATTTTTGAGAACAACATTGAATGAATTATGTAGTTGTGTTGTCAGTTGATTGGTTGGTTGGTTGGCTAACTGACTGGTTGGTTGGCTAGCTGGTTGGCTGGTTGGTTGGTCATTTGGTTGGTCAGTTTTGAATCCAATAAATGAACACACATTCATCAATGTTTGACATTTTAACTCGTTTAGTTGCATTTGAAACAAAAATAATGTGAAAACTATGATGACCATTTTCGAAACAGAATAAAACTTATTTGACTTTTGTACGCAAGATATTTATGTCGTTCATTGTTTGTGGTTCCCGCAAGACCCAATAAATCTGTATATGTTTTACAATATTTATTTAAAAATAACCTTCCATAAAAATTCCTTTAATTCAAGTTTATATCATTCTAATTGCAACAGTTATTGACAGCATTTTGTAAACTTTAAATTATTAACGTGAGTTTTATCTTCGGTATAATTTTTACAAAACTATCATTTATATCATATCATGATCATTTATATATAAAAAAAATTGAAGCGTAAACATCGGAAAGAAATTGTTATAAGTAGAAAGAGCAGACGACGAGAAGAAATGAATGTATTGATTTGGCGGCTTAATGGGTTAATTAGGGATTGATGGATGTGAGTCGTAGGAGCTCCGTTGTACGTTGAAGGCGGTGGGCAAATGGAGGTGGTATTGATTATTGCTAGAGCGTGATAGAAAGAGTTCAGATAGAGTAATGAAAATGAATTGTTGTTTTGATGTTTGGATACATGAAAAACTATAAAGAAATTAGACGCATTTTGAAAAACAATGTTGAAACATTCTATTGGGATTCTGTTAGTTTAGGAATTATTTAAATTAGCTTAATTAATTGGATAACGAGAATTTGGTTAATTGCTGCAATATGTTAATTGTTGAGGCTGGAACTGGTACGTACATGGAATGGTTGACAGTTTGAATGACGTTGAAATGTTAAAATGTTGACAATTAAATTTTGAAATATTAGCTGAACAATGAAAAAACAAAACTGCAAGATAAATATTTAAAAAAATATTAAAATTGAGTGATATAGCCAGTTCAATTTTAGATCTTATAAACAATACTCTAATATAAAAAAAATGCTAAAATACTATACTACTATACTAAAATATAAATACAACACATTACATGCAAACATGGATAAATAACACTTATCAACATCAGCATCATTATCGTCATTACAAATAGATATTATTATCCATGTCGTCATTCTACTGATACGTTCATTTTTCTAGTTGAAACATGTCACCATACCTAACTGCTCCTCCACAACTACTGGATTCATGTACCTGCCTATGCATATGAAACCTTATTTCAACCGCAACATAAACTCGTTTTCATTTGGTTTTCCATAGTCTAAGAAATAAAAAATAAATAAATAGTGGCTGTTGGATATTCTGCAAAAAACAAATATCTCCAACTTCTATGAGTAACATATGTCCAGTCCATAAAAACGCATTAAAATGTTGGAGTAGGAAGCAGCACACCTCTCAACTGGAGTGATAAGAAAATACTCGAAGAACGAAATGGTTCTGTTCAAATGTGGACACTCAGTGGGAATCTTCCTAATGAACTTGCGTTACGACATTAATGTGAAGTAAACTTCATTACGTATACTTGCATACATACATGTGTGTGTATGTATGTATATGTATATATGTGTGTATATGTGTATGTATGTATATGTGTACGTATGTACATGTGTACGTATGTACATGTGTATGTATGTATATATGTGTGTATGTATGTATATGTGTATGTATGTTTAGAAAGTATACATATCCACAACATCAATTTGTATTATGTTTGTATGTGCGGGGCACGGTACTTTTGTAAAAGTTTGTATGATGTCTGAGCGTGTTTTGTGGAGGTATGTGCGATGCGTGCGTGTAAGCGACGCAGATAGACTGTTAATCATACTTAACAATGCATTCAGATGTGCCCACGACCAACTTAATACGAAACAAAATGGCGGATGATTTAATGAAACATACAAAAGTTCTCTCTCTCTCACTCTTTCCTGTTTCTTTCTCTTTCTCTCCCGGATAATGTGTAATTTTTTCACACATTTTTTTCTACTTTTCACTCCACGTTTTGCTTTACAAGTCACTTTTGTTCATCCAGTTGTCCGCTGACTTGTTTTTAGATAAAAATTTTTTCTCGAGAAGAGTTCACGGCGTAGTGTTTTGGTTGTCATCGCATGGCCATCATTGTCCGCACCATCATGTCAGCAATCATCGTCATCATCGTCATGAAATATTTCACCAGCAAGCAATTATCCTCATTATTCATTATTATCACCCTACCATCGCCGTAATTATTTCAAAAGTTTTTATCATTGCCTTGTGTTTAATTTTTATTTCATCTTTGAAAATAGCATCATCATAATCGCCGTCCTGTCCACGTGCAATAACATCTCCATTCAGATCATTACTCTGCATGTAGGTCAGCCAAATGCACTTTGCGGGAGGTGGAGAAGAAATGCGTTTGTCAGGCTGAGATGATGCAAGAGGAAGACCTTCATCGCCATGGCAAATACGATGATGAAGAAGACGATGACGAAGAAGACGATGATGATGAAGAAGAAGATGATGATGATGAAGAAGATGATAGTGGCAACGACGAAGATGGGGATGACGAGGATGATGATAACACTGATGATGATGAAAATGACGACAACGATGATGATGAGTACGATGATGATTATGTTTTGACTGATAACACTGACGATAACCACGGTATTGGTGATCATAGAAATGACAACAGTAATGATGTTGGTGATGATTTGATTGATGCTGGATCTAAGAACAACTTTGCCAGTCTCAACAGTTATCGTTTTTGTTACCCGTGGAAAGTCATATACCTCCATGGTGAGCTTGTTAATGTGTAAACAAATATTTGAATACTACGTGCGTGTGTTTGCGTGTGCGTGCGTGTTTGTTTACATTTGTCTGCGTGTGCACGTTGACGAACGTCTAGATTTGCGTGTTACATAAACATGTTAACATGGGTGCAGGCATGCAAATGAATGTTTGATTTTGTGTGTGTGTGTGTCTTTTTTATCTGTCTTTATTTACTAAGGTGCGTGTGTGTGTGTGTGTGTGTGTGTGTGTGTGTGTGTGTGTGTGTGGTGTGAACTTTGTTGTGAATTTGTACGTATGTGAGTATGTTTGTTTAAATGGTGGTTTAATTTAAAGTTTTGGGCTGATACCAATACATAAATACAAAAGTGTACAAACCAATCGCAAGCAGACCAAACACCAACCACCGACCTGAACCTTCTCGAGGGTCGCAACTACAAACTGCTCTGCCGAGCCTCTAAGCCAAGAACAACTGATGGTAATGATGATGGTGGTAGAGGAGGTTGGTTGACTGGTTGGTGGGCGGTTGAATGGTTGGCTGGTATGTGGTATATTCTGTTTTATTTTCAATGTGGATTCGAGATGAAATTTCAAAATTTACCATTTTATTTTATTTTTTGTTGTAGTAAAATTTTCATCGTACACTGATTATTTTTGTAACAACTTTTTTTTGTCAAATATCTTTCTATGGGAGTTGAAGAAGCATTTTCTGAATAATAATAGTTATAATAAAATAAGAAATGCAACAAATATTGAAGGTCAAAATTTTGAACTTAAAGATAAATAACCCTACCTACAACAACTTTTCTGTTTTTAAATGTCGAAACATGAATGAAACAAATGCAGAAAAAATGAAAAATGAAAGATCAAGTAGTCAGGCGAACTTGAGCACGAACACGAACAACAAACGAGCAAACGAAACAGTGCAAACACGAGTGAACAACAGCCATGAGAGAAACAATGAAAACGTCAACAAAACAATAACTCAGCCACTTTGGGAAATGAGAGCCGAGGAGTTTGGGAAAGTAGAATGGTTGAAAGATGGTCACATTGTTGGTCAACAGGTGAATGTTCATCATCTCGGCATCTGGCAGTTGCCATGTCAGCAAATATCACAAAATGAACAACAATCCAAGAATAAACAAAAACTGCAACTACAAAATTTGAAACTAGAAAAAAAACAACAACAACATGAGCAACGTCAACAACAACATCAAAATCAACTACATCAAAATGATCAACAACAACATCAAAATGTACAACAGCACAATTTCTCACACGACCAGCCATATAAACACTTGTTAGCAAACGTTATACAACGACAACAAAAGCGATTTGAAAATCAGAAATCAAATTTACAAAGTGGAAAAAATTTTATGTTTCAAACAAAATTGCAGCAATCTATACAACAGCAACAACAACTACTTCAACCTCAAAAAAAATTTCCACAACAATCACCACAACAAAACCAACAGCAACGACATCATCAACATTTTGATCATCATTCCGAGGTTCACGAACAAAAGCAGCAACACATCAAACAAAAACGCAACATTACGCCCAACAACAACAACAACCACAGCAACCAACAACAACAACCTCAACAAAACTACGAAACACAACAACAACAACTTCAACAGAAAAGAATTCGTCGAAAACAATACATTGAATTCCACAGGCAGCAACACTATCAACACCACCATCTGCAACAAAACCAAAACAAACAGAAACAAATTTTGCCAAAACTTCAAAGAAAGCAGTCGCAATTAAACAATAAAATTTTAAGAAAACAAAAAGGAAAATTTTCCCGAAGCAATTTCAGACATCAAAAACAAAAACATGTACGGAAAAAAGAACCACGTGACCATCAGCAAAAGCATAGACAGATGAATCAACAACAGCATAAACAAACAAATCAACAACATAATTTTCAACAAGAAGTTCAAAAACAAGTAAAATATCAACAACTACAACAGCAACAAAAACAACAACAGCGGCAGCAAAATGAACTGAAACAGCGTTTGAAAATATTTAAAGAGCAGCGTAGACAGGAGCTACAACAATACTATGAACAACTACATTATTATAAGCAACATCCGATACAACAACAACAACAACTTCTACAAGAAAAACAAACAAAATCAAAAACCAGTTTTAAACCCCAACAACCATACAAGCGACAACAAACGCACCTACCACAACCACGACAGCAGAATCGACCACAACCACCACAACCAAACGTCTCACCACACTTTTGTTGTCGTCATCCGAATTCTCGCCATCATCTACAGCATCAGGTTTCAATTGTTTGAATGCTTCTCAGTTGAAGAATGTTAATGAAAAATTTTAAATTATCATTTGAATGTTACATTAAATTTGGAAAACATAAATCATGCGAATTAAATTGCCATGAGATGTTATAGATTAAATAATAAATGAATGAACAAATAACAAAAACAAGTATTTAGAAAACAAACAAACGAACAAATGAACGAACGAACAAGCAGCAAACAATTGAGCAAACAACAAACTAGCCAACTTAAAAAACAAACAAGCAAACGAACGAACGAACAAGCAAACAATCAGCAAACAATAAAAAAACAACTCGTTTAAACTGAACACCATTCATGTAAATAACAAAAGTTGACTAATTATCCAAATCATCCACAATAACTCGTTCACCAAACTATAACATTCATGAAAACACAACTCACCCAATTAAAAATATTTATTTCATTTTGTTGCAATCACATTTTAACAACAGTAACATTAATGTAACTTATTGAAAGTAGCAAAAAAGTGTATAAACAACATCGAATACAATGGTATCCCTAACAGAAAAAAATTCATTTGACAAAAATAACATTAATATCACCTACATTAAGTAAGCCAACTGCAACAACATCAACAACAGAACATTAACAACATCAACAAAATTAACAACTTCAACAACATCTACATCAACAACAACAGAAGAATATCAACATCAACAACATTAACAACGTCATTAACAAAAACCTTTTTTTAAAACATCGTTATAATTTAGCATTGACAAATATGCATAGCACAAAAGCACGGACGAGCCATCAAATTATTGTTGGCGTCGTTTCTCTAGTTGAAATTTATTCGGTCCAATCAAATCTCTCATATTTCAGTTTGGGCAATTTTCGCAAATATTTTAGTAAAAGCAAAAAAATTTAAAACGGATTGAATCAACGATTAACGTCAGGCAACAACAACAAAAAATAACAAAATTATTGTTAACAAAAATATTCAAATGCTTAAAATTGAAAACATCATCATCAACAACCACATCAACAACATTAACAACAACTACAACATCAACAACAATAGCATTAACAACAACAACATCGAGAACCAAAACAATGAGGATGTCAGTAGAATGATATTTACAATGTAATAAATAAAAATAAAAATATCCACAGTTGTACAATGAAAGAACAACAACAAGAATAATTATAAGCAACAACAACAGCAGCAGCAACAATAACAACAACAATAATAATAATAATAACAATAATACGTTAATATTAACAATATGCACAATCCTAACTGAACGCACAGAAACAATAACATCAAGAAGAGTCTATCCATCCGAATGTCATTAACGACATTAACATTATAACATTGCAGTAACACTAAATTGAAATTACATCAACAATAGAAATTGAGACGCAACATTGGAAAGTTAGAAAATAAACAAATAACATCCGCACAAAAATAACAATGACGTCATTAACTTGAATGAACACGTGCTAACAACAACAACAACAACGATAAAAATAATAACAAAAGCAAAAATAATAAATAGAACGTAACACAAAACGACCATCGAATCAACATGATGACGTCATCGATGACGACGACGAATTTGCATGCCACAGACTCTCAATGGTAAAAACCCAAAAAAAGTTTAAGAAAAAATTAACAACAACAACGACAACAATAACACCAACAACAGCAACTACAACAACAGCAACAATATAAAAATAATAACAATAACAATAATAATAATCATAATAATAATAACAATATCAATGACAATAAAACAAACAAGGACTATGTGCAGTATTAACGTGCCACATAAATTGAAGGCCAGCAACATAACAAGAAGCAATACATAAATTCACACTCCGTCTGCAGAACACGTGAGCGCATATTTTTCTGGTTCTTTTAAGAACGACGCATCTCTTTGTGGGTTAATGGAATATGCGCTACGACCATTAGCACGTGATTAAATATGTATATTTTGTTTGTACAGTTAATACACACGTACACACATACATGTGTACATACATATGTACATACATACATACAGACAGACATACATACATACATACATACATACATACATACATACATACATACATACATACATACATACATACATACATACATACATACATACATACATACATACATACATACATACATACATACATACATACATACATACATACATACATACATACATACATACATACATACATACATACATGCATACTTACATACATACATACAGACATACATACATACAGACATACATACATACAGACATACATACATACATACACACATACACACGTGCATACTTTTGTACTTTTAAAAAAAGAATCTCACTGACACACACAGATATTCCCAAACAGGCATATGTAGAGAATTTTAAATTTTGCTTAACGTTTTACACGTGAGAGAAATGATAATTTCAAAAAAAGTTGAACATAACAACTACACAACATTAACAATGTTGAAAACAACACATCGACATCTAAATGACATCAACAACAACATTTACAACAGCATCAACAAAAACAGCAATAACAACATTTACAACAACATCAACAAAAACAACATTCACACACCATCATCAACAACATTCACAAACACATTAACAACAACAACATTCACATCAACAACATCAACACAACAACAGCTCTATACAGACGGAGTCTCGTTGTTCATTCTCAACGCCTCACTTCTACACATTGGCCACTATATTGCTATCATTAAACGAAGCAATAATTTCAGCGGCACTAACAAAAATGACATTAACAACAACAACAACATAGTGGAAAAAGTTATCAGTACCAGCAGCAACAACAGCATGAACAACGACAACTCCATAAATAACCACAATATGGATAAAAGCAACAAAACCAACAACAATAACAGCTACAACATCAAAGAAAACACCAGGGAGATAATTTATGACAACATTATTAAAGGAATTTTGTTTATACGCCATAGCAACAGTAAATACAACGAAAATAATAACAACAACAATAATAATAATAATATAAACAACAATATCTTCGGTAACCAAGACAACGACGCCATAATCGGCCAGTGCTCAATGAATCTACTTGTCACAAGTTAGTTTTTACATTTATAATTTCATAATATTTGCAAGTAATTGTTTTTATAATAGTTATTTTTACCATTATTATGATAATTATTATTATCGCTATAATTTATTTTAATCATTATCAGTTAGTTAAATCAAAAAAGGAACGTTTTACTTTTGTTTTAAAAATGCATTAAAATATTTAGAAAAATTATTTGAGCGGATTTAAAAAAATTATTTTTGCGGGAGTAACATCCAGGAAGATTAATTTAAATAATATTATAATTATTTCAGAAATAATAGTGAAAATAAAAAATAATTATATTAACACAAATATTAACAAATTTAAATATCAAAAAATGAATGATAATTACGATAATTAAGATCGTGAAGTGCCACACAATACTACCGGCCAACATCGTCAAGTTAATAATCTTTGTTGTTGTGGAAAAAACAGGCGATATTAAACGCGAATAAAGAGTTGAATTTTGAGCTGCAAAGATTTTGCAATATTTAAGCACAAAAAATAATTTTTTTTAAACTCTTATTTAATTAGCTCTTTTGAACCCAAGTTTATAAAATAAAATTCGAAAAAAAAAACAAATCTAAAAAAACTCTCCCAACAACGACAACACATGACGTCACATCTGATGTTTGTTTATTCACGTGACCAGACGGAATGGATGAGCGGACGACATTTCATTCCCTTGCACGATGTGTTTCTTTCCTCTCCTTTCGCTTTGTTTCGTTGCGTTCGTTTATTTTAAAAATAATAATTTTCCTGACAAATTTATTAAACGTTCTCCACATACGCCGCCATAATAATTAACCATTTCCGCCTGGGAATTATGGAAAATTAAAAAATAAATAAGAAAAATTATCAAATGAGTATCTTCTTTAAACATGACAAAAACATTTACTTCTAGCTTCCAGCTTTATGACTTCACAATGATGCCATTATCATCTTTTTAATTTAAATTATAGTCATCTTTTACATCATTATTATTGTCATTTTCTTTTTCACCATCATCATCATCATCTTCACCATCATCATCATCATCATTTTCACCATCATCATCATCTTCACCATTATCATCATCTTCACCATCATCATCATCATTTTCACCATCACCATCATCTTCACCATCACCATCATCATCTTCACCATCATCATCCTCTTTTCACCATCATCACCATCATCATCATCTTCACCATCACCATCATCTCCACCATCATCCTCTTTTTCACCATCATCATCACCATCAGTTTTTACTTTTGTCATTCATTTGCGAACGATAAAGTCGCGTTCCATTGTAATCGTTCACTGATGATAATGTTGAAAATAACGACGACGGTGATCGTGATGATTGCGAGGATAACGATGGTGAAATAGTGAATGTTTTGATGTTGTTGATGGTGACGATCGTATATTTTCGTATAAAAAAGGGGTAATGGTTTTATATTTCATATATATATGAGGTCACTAGTTATTAGATTTTTTTTTTTAATTTTACGTACGGCAATAACTGCCTGCTAAAAATGTTGCCAAATTTTTGTTTGCTTGTTTGTTTTTATTGAAATTATTGTTGCTAGCAACAGGCCAATTTTCAAATTCGCAAAGTCACATTATCTCTATCGTGTTAGTTCCTTTTCTGTGGTGATCCCGCGTGCTCTGCTCCAAAGCTCGCTCTAGATTAACTTGATTACAAAAAATTTGAATTGGAGAGAAATTAGAAAAGTTTAAGATGCTGACGTTGGTGGAATTCAGGTGATAAAACATAAACTGAGTAAGAGAAGGAGAATGATGATGGATGATGATGATGGGACGGAGAAAGAAGTGAGAATAAAGAAAAAGAAAATGATAATAGTGACGATAAGGGTTAATATGATGAAAATGATGATGTGAGTGATGATAATGGTGAGAATGACGATAACGACGAGAAACCGGCATAATGCATACGTGCTAATGGAAGATGAAGAATTCGGAATTATCAAAGTTCTTATCTGAAACGCTGTTCTCATGCTAATAGGGTTTTCTTAAGCTGAGAGCTGATGATTAGGAAGATGTTGACGATGATGACTGTGGTGATGATGATAGTGGCGGGACAAGGATTAGAGTGCTGTTTAAGATGGAAATAATAATAATAATAATACGAAAATAATAATACAAAAATGAATTTTAAGATCAGCAATATGTAGCAGTGACGTCGAGCGTTCAACTAATCAGTGGCTGAAACATCAAAATCAAACAAATACAGAAATATTTTCGTAATGAAAAAAATTTGAATGTGGAACATTGAATGTTAATAATTTATTTCACAATTACCTTACTTTAATTCTAACATACTCGAATAAATTCACTTAAGAAAATTACTTTAACCAAAGTGAATGATCTATTTCACTTTATCTTCACTGAGATTAGATGTCACTTTTTCAAGGCAATAAAGTCATTTTTGTGTTCGGTTAACACTTTAAACTTTCTTTGTTACCATCCTATAAATATAAAGAGTTGGTAATGTTTTGAACATTTAACTATTTTTGATTCATTCCTATTCAAGAGAAGAGCCGATAGTGCTTCGAACATTCAACAGCCAGTCTAGATAAGAATTAGGAGTGATTAATTTGATATATACGCGCTGAAATACAAATCAGATTATGGAAAATTTAAACTCAATTGAAATGATAAAATGTGTTAAAGAAGCCGTCAAAGAATACACGGCTGAATTCATTGAAAGTCAGATCAAAAGAGACGTTGCCAAACTAGAAAGATATTTCGTTGAAAACAACAACTGTAAGCTGCCGAAACGTGAAATGAAAAAACTTTCGAAAATGGTTGCTATAGGCAAATCCGGTTGGGTGGATACATTAATTCGAAGAACGTCCCACTTCAATTCATTGCCTCTTCATGATCAGTACGATATAATGAAGAATTTACAAGATTGTCACCGTTCCAATATTTTGGCAGAAGAAACAGTAAAGCACCGAGTAGACATAACGATGCCTGATGATGGCATCAATATCAAAGGACAAATTTGTTTCAGAGATACCTTTCGCCGCGAGAAAATGGAAAATATGAAATATTTTCTGCCCTTTGTTAGAGACAAGTTCATGAACGAGGAGTGTTGCATATGCAACGAAGAATTTGTGCAGAGTTCCTTCGTCTACGAAATGGGTTGCAGACACGCATTCCATTTCAAATGTTTGGACACTTGGCTAGAAAACAAAACAAGTTGTCCATATTGCCGCAAAGCTGTTGTGTCTAAAAAGTCAACTGATACCAAGCATCATGTTAGAGAGGAAGAGGATGGCAGTCAAACCGTCATCATCGTCATCCTGATCTCACCTAATTTTTATTAAATTGTTTTTATAATTGTCTTATAATTGTCGTTTGCATTTAAATAAACTTTTGTGACACTTTTAATTTCACAAATATTTCTGTACAATAAAAGTTTAAAGACTAAAATGTAATTGAATTGTTTATTTAAAACCATTCATTTAGAAATTTTCAAACAAAAATATATATGTAACGACAGTTTCAATTAAATGAACACTGAGATATAACTGTATACAATATTAACGCAAACAACATTTTAGAGAGATAAGCCAGTGCACAAAAAATAATTACATGGTACCGAGACGAACAAACAAAAATAAGATTAATAAACTCGCGGTGATACCAAATGCTATGTTATAATATATACGATTAACGTTTGAAAACCAAGTCGTTTGAGGTACCTTTATATATTTTCTAATTCAAATAAGTTTCACGCTTCAAAAAATGATAATAAACCTTTTAGACCAAAATAAAAATCTAGAATATTTGAAATGATTTCATATTTAAATTTCAAATTGTATAACTATGTGTACTAGAATCTTTATTTTTGGTTTTTATAACGCAATCTAGTTTAAGATATTTTCTTTCTCTGGATTTTTGCATGATTCTTGTCAATGTTTAAATGTATGTACTGTACACTTATATTTCTATATGTTGACATGTTTTTGTTTTTGAAGTTATTTAACTTTATTACTAATTATAATTATTATAATGAAATTACTGTTGTCGCTATTAGTTATTAGACAATTAATTAATACGTACGAAGCGTATCGAGTGCGTATTTCTTGCTTACGAGATGCACATCAATTAGTTCGTTAAATCACTACCTTTCAAATTTCCTATTGCCATGTCACTCGGACGATCTTGTGCCATTGTTTATCGTAAATTCGAGAGAAAAAAACGCCTCTAATGAGTTTAATGGCTGTTTAGCTGCATCCAATCATCATAACACAATATTGGTAGTAGCAGTCGTAACAGTAGCAGCAGCAGCAGCAGTAGTCAACTCGCTAGTATTAGCGGTTGTAATAATTAAAATAAAACTATTAACGGTAGTAGTAGTTGTTTTAGTTGTTGTTGTAGTAATAGTAGTATAATAGTAGTAGTAGTAGTAGTAGTAGTAGTAGTAGTAGTAGTAGTAGTAGTAGTAGTAGTAGTAGTAGTACAAGTAGTAGTAGTAGTAGTAGTAGTAGTAGTAGTAGTAGTAGTAGTAGTAGTAGTAGTAGTACAAGTAGTAGTAGTAGTAGTAGTAGTAGTAGTAGTAGTAGTAGTAGTGTAGTAACTGGAGTAGCAAGAAGCAGCTGTTCTGGCTGCAGTGCATCCATGCATCCATCACACACACACATCCCAGCGGGGAGATACATTCCATTTAGTGGCGTTGTACAACAATGAATTTAGAAGCAGGTTGATTCTTAAATATTTACATTTTCGGTGATAGATGATTGTTGTAGTCTTGTTGAAGAAAAATAAATAAATGGCAATAATAATAATAATAATTATATTAAATAAAATAATATGATAATACTATAATTAAAATTACAGTGATGATAAATTGAAATATGAAAAACAATTCGTTTCTGCTTGTTAGCTTCAGAAATTACAAAAACCTCCATTATTTCAATTAATTTTTATCAAAATTTTCCATTTGTTAAATAATGTAGTTACCGCTTCAGTAATTGCATTATTGACTTTTAAATGTTAAAAGTAGTAGTAGTAGTTGTTGTTGTTGTTGATGTAGTAGTAGTAGCGGTATCAGTAGTAGTATTAGTAGTAGTAGTAGTAGTAGTAGTATTAGTAGCGGTATCAGTAGTATTAGTAGTGGTGGTGGTGGTGCTAGAAGTAGTAGCCGCAGCAGTACAACCAGCATTGGTCAAATTTATAATGTAAGAAAAAGTAGCAGTAGCAGTATTTATAGAAATAGTAATGCACACAGTAGTAGAAAGTTTAGTAATTGTATTCCCCTTTTGAATCTTCCTGGTCCCGTTACAATGATCCCACAAGCAATCATACTCAATCAATCAATCAAACGCTGCAGTATGTGTGTGTGTCTGTATGTGTGTGTGTCGTTGTATATATATATATACACACATATATATATATATATATGTGTGTGTGTGTTTGTCTGTGTGTAGTTGTGTGTGCGTATGTACGTGTTTTTGCGTGTATATAATATTTATTAAGAACGTATAACATGATATTTAGCTACATTAAGTTTGCGTCATATGAGGATTGCTCTCAAACGCTCCTCCGCGAGTTCGAAATTAAATTTCAAAATTTTGAAAATGTGTGGAGAACTAATACTATCGAAATTGAAAACATTGATTGTATATCTCACAACATTCAGTCATCTACCTACAGTATCAAATTGCTATATAATTTTATTTTTCGTTACAAATTTCTCCGAATCACGTGCATTGCAAACATGGCGTTGCTTTAATCACCAGCTGAATTTGGTATGAGAACATGCACTGGCATGTAAATCCTACTGCAACAAACACAACACAAATACACACAAACACAAATACACACACCAACACAAACACACGCATATAAACAAACACACACACAGGTAATAAATAAAAAAAGCTCAATAAACAAACAAAATAAACAGTTTATAAAACCAAGCTAAAAACAAACTCAGCAAGCATCCGACCACACGACTAAACAATAAAATCTCGAAAAGCTGAAGTTGCCAATTTTTATCCACAGCTCATCCATCAGTTAGGCTAAGATTGCTGTCCAGAGATGACGATAATGAAGATGATGATGAAGCTGATCTCCTTGATGATAATGGTGAAAATAATGATGCCAATAATGATAGCAACGCCAGTGATTACATTGATGCTGATGACGATGTTAATGAAGGTGGAGGCAAAACGAACAAAAATGATGATGATGTTGATAATGATGATCATGATGGTGTTGATAAGGATGATAATGATGATGTTGATGATGAAAAACTTGCAAATGAGAACACCAACGATGAGTTGGACGAAGAGGACAATCATGATGAAGGTGATAATCATTTCAATGAAGCTGATGAAAGAGAAGAAAGCCCCAAAAACTACAATGAAGATGGTGTTGGTGCCACGAACCATAATGACGATGACGATGAAAATATTCCTCATAACAGCAGCAAGACGAAAAATTTCAAAGTTCACAGAAACAACAACAACTCAAACTTTTCAAGTCACATCGTCAGTAAATCGACAGGAAGTAAAGAAAACAACAACTGCAAACAAAACAACAATCCCAACAACATGAAAAACATTTGCAACAACAATAAAAATTTCAACAACAATAACAACAACAAAAACAGTAACAACACGAACAACAACAACAATTTGAACAACACAGACAGCAAGAAAGTAACAACATCGACGGTAACGTTACAGTGCACATGTACATGCTGGCCTTCTTGCTGGATAGCATGGTTTATTAATGGACAATCGGTACAACAACTACAACTGCAACAACAACAACATCAACAACTGCAACAACAACAACTGCAACAACAACAACAACAACTGCAACTGCAAAAACAACTGCACCAACATCATCAACAACAACTGCAACAGCAACAACTGCAACAACATCATCAACAAAAACATCGACAACAACTGCAACAACATCATCAACAAAAACATCGACAACAACTGCAACAACATCATCAACAACAACAATTGCAACAACAACAACAAAATTATCGACAACATCATCTGCCTGAACAAAAACAGCTCCTGATTTCAAACGTTGCCACATTCGATTGTTAGTGGAGGGTTTTAAATGAAAGTACTTTATTGATTGCAATAAAATAGCTTTTTAGAATTCACTCTGCTTCATTTTTCGTTTTAATGATTATTTATTTGTATAATAATTTTATACTTTTTAATTATCATCAAATTTGTTTTGTTCCATTTCTTCATTCATTTATTCATTCATTTCTCACGAATTCACTCATTTAATAGCTTATCTTCACTCACTCATTCATCCATTCATCTATTTACTAAGTAATTTATTTGCTAGATCACTCGTTCACTCACTCACTCACTCACTCACTCACTCACGCACGCACTCATTCACGCACTCACTTACACTCACTCAATTACACGTTAACTCACTCATTCACTCCCTTATTCACTCACTCACTCACTCACTCACTCACTCACTCATTCACTCCCTTATTCACTCACTCATTCGCTCCTCCACCTGATAAGAAACAAATGATCGTCCCAATCGTAGATGACAATCAGGTAATGAATGTTGCCCGCGCGCCAATCACAAACCTGTACGCCTGCCAATGCGCTCATGACGTCAAATCGACCAAAGACTATAAAGTAGTGAAGGCTCTTACATCTTCCGGCAAGTTTAAATTTTACGATAGTTTTATTTTTATTCACTTATTCTTTTTAGATTGCCTCACGTGGAAGATCGAAAGATAGACAAACAAATGAACGGACGGATGGATGGATGGATGCATGGATGAATGAATGAATGGATGGATGGATGGATGCATGGATGATTGAATGAATGAATGAATGAATGAATGAATGAATGAATGAATGAATGAATGAATGAATGAACACGTAATTCCTCCATGTGAAAATATTTAAATAATTCTAAAAACTGTTGAAGTAATATATTTGGAGTTGTTTCTCAGCTTAAAATACCGTTTGGCATGTTGTAGCAAATTTTGCGTGAATGAATGAATGAATGAATGAATGAATGAATGAATGAATGAATGAATAAATAAATGAATGAATGAATGAATGAACACGTAATTCCTCCATGTGAAAATATTTAAATAATTCTAAAAACTGTTGAAGTAATATATTTGGAGTTGTTTCTCAGCTTAAAATACCGTTTGGCATGTTGTAGCAAATTTTGCGTGAATGAATGAATGAATGAATGAATGAATGAATGAATGAATGAATGAATGAATGAATGAATGAATGAATGAATAAATGAATGAATGAATGAATGAACACGTAATTCCTCCATGTGAAAATATTTAAATAATTCTAAAAACTGTTGAAGTAATATATTTGGAGTTGTTTCTCAGCTTAAAATACCGTTTGGCATGTTGTAGCAAATTTTGCGTCTTCCAAATTTTGATTTTTCAAAGAATAAAAAAAAAGTTGAAATGTATTTATCTCCGTTTCCGTCCACAGTGGATGTGTTGGTGATGGTGTATGACGATGACGTCATCCAAGTGTTCGGTACCGAAAACTGTCAACTAAGACATCAAACCAGTGCAGTATCGTCATCATCGTCGTCTTCATCATCGTCGTCGTCGTCTTCATCTTTTTCATCATCATCGTCGTCGTCATCAACGCCATCATTCTCAGTTCCAACAACCACAATTGAATTGCCATTCACACCATCATCATCCAGATCATCATCAACACCGCCATCATCATCTAAATCATCATCATCTTCGTCCTCATCATCGTCATCATCCTCGTATATTGGAGCGGAAGTAGTGGCAGATAGATATTTATACATCATCCAACAGCTGCATTTGTATCATAACCGCATTTTTAACAATAATAATAACAACATCAACAACAACGATATTAATAATAATAACAACAACAACAATAATAACAATAATAATAATAGAAGTTATGACATCGCCCACCGGATCGTTGTCCTCGATGTGATGGATGGATATAAAAAGTTACAGGTGGATGAATGAATGTATAATGTTAAACATGCTTTATTGGAATAACAATAATGTGAACATATTTTATTTATTTATTCAATTGACAAAATAAAATTCAAAATAATAGGAAATAAGAAATGACAAATAAAATAAAGTTTAATAAAAATTGAGTTTTAATAAAATCTACGATCCTCCTAAGCTCGATGACGTTACAAGTGCATAGGAGTGAAAGATATATTTAATTAAGCATTGTTTCTCGCGCAATAAATACTATATGTCGAGCTAATAACAATTTTAATTAATTTTACATTAAAATAATTTGGCCATGTAGTTTTAAAAATAGATAGGTTCAAATTATTATAAAAACCAATTGGCGATATCTCAAATGTGTTAACTGTTATAGAGCAGTTTATAAAGTTATTATTTAAATGTTGTTTCAGATTTTTGTACTTTGCACTTTTATATTGTTTAGATAAGAGTAGGTTAGTCTCATGACATATCGTCAACTCGATCACCTCTATTTTTCCACCCCGCAGAACAGCAACATCAGGTCGTAGCGTGTGAAACAACTGTGTTATTGGGCGTACATTTTCCGATTCCAAATCAGCAAATATGCAACAGTCGATAGGAGCCTGAGCTTTTATCTCGTTTATGATCACCGCCAATATTTTGTTATGTCTTTCGGTGTATCGTGCCAGTGCCGATGTTGAACAGCAGTTAGACACGACATGTTTATTTGTCTGGCGAACGCTGCAGAGCGGACATAAAGGAGTCGCAGTTTTGCCCCATTGAAACATATTTGAATCGGTGGGCAATTGTTGAACCAGGTATTTTCTTATGAACCTGTAAAGTACCCTGGATAACTTCTCAGTAGTTTTGAACCAACAAGTTATTTGTGCTGGGCTTATATGCTGGCCAATGGCTTTGAGTATGATTCCCTGAGATTGCAGTTCGCTGATGTGGTTGAGACACGATTTCACTTTGTCATCTTCCAGAAGCTTAAGAGACAGCTTTAGCGAGCCTGTTTCGTTCAGCGAACTATCTGATTTGATGAAATTTGAAGTTGTTTCGCTCCATAGGCATTTGATTTCATCACTAGTGTTGTTTTTTAGATAGCTGCGGATTTTCAATTTTATTTTTTCTGAAGTCTCTTTTAATGACACAATGTTGTTACCGCCATGTTTCGTTGGCAGCGAAAGTATTTGCGATACACAACCGCTAATAGGCATAGAAAGCCACTCTCTGACAATAATAATAATCATAATAACAATAAAAATAATAATCATAATAATAACAATAATCACAACCAATAATCACAACGTCATCATCATCCCATCGTCATCTGCCTTATTATTCCATGGGTAAAACATTTTTTGATTATCTGTCCATGATATGCCGAAGAGAAGCAATCATTCATTCATTCATTCATTCATTCATTCATTCATTCATTCATTCATTCATTCATTCATTCATTCATTCATTCATTCATTCATTCATTCATTCATTCATTCATTCATTCATTCATTCATTCATTTATTCATTTATTCATTTATTCATTCATTCATTCATTCATTCGTTCATTCATTTATTCATTCGTTCATTCATTTATTCATTTGTCCATTCATTCGTTCATTCATTTATTCATTCATTCATTCATTCATTCATTCATTCATTCAATCGTAAAATTTATTTCACTCACTCACTCACTCACTCACTCACGCACGCACTCAATCAATCAATCAATCCATTCATCTATCAACCTAGCAATCCACAAATTATCTTCTCGTTAAATTTTCATCCAACGCAACTTCAATTATTCACACCTGAACTCACATATAAACACACACACACACACGCACACATACATACACGAAAACTCAGACGCACACATACAGACATGCACAAATACAGACATACACATAATCACGCTTAACAAAACCACAAAATTTAAGCACACACACACATAAAAACACACACGTACACACACACATAAAATCACACACTGACACAAACACAAACAAACAACCACACACATACGCACGCACACAGTTCATTAAGATGGATTGCAGACCACTGGAGCTACACTATATAAGACAATTTGACCAAATCTGGGTTGTTTGCTCCAATGTCGCCAGGTTTGCTCCCCTTGTTAATTGTATGTATGCTGTTATTGTTTATTTTTATTTGTCATCCATGCTATCACCATCCTTTATTATTATCATCATTTTCACAACCGTTATCATCATCATTATTATCGTCGTTATCTTCATCATCACCATATTATCTTCTTCATCGTCATTCTCATCATCACCATATTATCTTCTTCATCGTCATTCTCATCATCACCATATTATCTTCTTCATCGTCATTCTCATCATCACCATATTATCTTCTTCATCGTCATTCTCATCATCACCATATTATCTTCTTCTTCATCATTCTCATTATCTTCATCGTCGTCGTCGTCTCCAGTATAACCCACTTTGCCAGCTTCTTTGTCCTTATATGAGTTTTTTTATTCATCAATTTTGCCATCATTATCATCATTTTCCTCATCATTACCAGTATCACCATCAAATTATGAGTATCATCATCATCATCATCATCATCATCTTGATCACCACCATCATGATTATTATTAGTATCATCACCATTTTGATCACCACATCATTACCAGTTACATCACCATCTTGATCATCATCATTATCAGTATCATCACCATCTTGATCGCCACCACCATCATCATCATTATCAGCATCTTCATCATCATTATGCATTCAACGACCGTCTCCTAAAAAAAATTATGAAAACCGACGATCCGAATGATTAAACCGACTGCGATAGGAGGGATGCGATAGATAAGATTATCGCCACGAATACTTCTAATCCCATCCCTGCAACAAGTGCTTCATAGGTTTACATTTGCTACCACCTCCGTACCATTTCCATTATATTATTATTATTTATGTTGTTAATATTATTATTTTTGTTATTATTATTATTATTTTTATCCTTATATTATTTTTTTTATTGCTGTTGTTATTATTATTGTTGTTGTTGTTGTTATTATCATTATTATTATAATTATTATTATTATGTCGTTATTATTGCGTTAGTTTGAGTTTCTCGCGAAGATCTACTCGTGCAGCTTAATGAGTTTTTGATATTATTTCCGCCACAGACTAAGCCGGGGAAAGTTTCAATAAATACATTAGCAACAACAACAACAAGAATAACAATAATAATAATAACATTATTATTATTATTATTATTATTATCATTAAAATGATTACAATATTAATAAAAATAAGAATAACACTTATAACAATATCCACAATGATAACATCAGTTACAAAAACAAATCGGCACTTGAACGGTATTCTGCCATTAGCGACAGGATTGCTTGAAATCGGCTTTTAACCAAAACATAGAGGGCTGTCTTTGCGAAATCAGTCACTAGAAAATAAAATGACTAAAATTAAAGCAAAAAATACTTTCTTGCGGTTCGCTACTGCAACTGCTTCGACTGCTGTTACAGCTACTACTGTTACAACAGCTACTACAATATTTCAACATTTCATATGCAGCTCTATTAATTATTTTTCGTTAAAAAAATGTTTCCCTTTCTATCCTAACTGATGGTATAGTGGCCACGGAATCAACAGCAATATTTTGTCACTGATGTGTGAGTACTGCTTTTAACGCTGCATCTTGCATTCTTTTGTTTTTGCCCTTACTGCAATTACCACTACTACAGCTGCTACAACTACTACAGCTGCTACAACTACTACAGTTGCTACAGCTACTACAAAAACAACAACTATTACAACTACTACCACTACTACTATTACTAACATTACTGCTGCTAATATCCGCTTATACTTTTACTACTGCTACTGTTACTTCCATTTTAATTATTAATATTATTACTGCTACTACTATTAGAAAGTCTGTTGCTATTATTGTACCACAACTGCTACTATACTACCAACACCACTACTACTGCTGCTGCTACTACTACTGCTGCTACTACTACTGCTGCTACTACTATTATTACTACCAATAGAACAACAGCAACTACTACTATTATCACTTCTACTTTTACAACTAATGTTTCTACAACTACTAATACTGCTACTACTACTACTAATACAACAGCAGCAGCAGCAACAACTACTATATTTCTACAACGACAACTTCAACAGCAACTACTTCTACAACTACAACTTTTACAACTACTATTTCTACAACGAATACTTCTACAACTACAACTACAATTTCTACAACTATTACTTCTACTACTAATACAGCTGCCAACCTCTTTATGGCTTTGTGATTAGTGTAGTCGTCTTAATGGGCACTGGAATAAACAAAAGTATTTACTATTTTGACGACGATGGAAAAGAGTGATGATGATGATGATGATTGTGATGGTGGTGATAATGATGATGATAAGGATGATGATGATGATAATGCTGCTGCTGATGATGATGATGCTGATGATGTGTGTCGTTGTCGATAATGATGAAGATGATGACCATGGTGATGATTTTGTTTTGTATAATGATAATGATAAGAACTATATTGTTGTTGTTGTTGTTGATTATGACGACGATGAAGTCACTGATGAAGATGATGGTACTGTTGTTGATGATGATACTTCAATGATAAAGATAATAATAATAAGAATGAGATAGTGATTACAATGACAAAAGAGAAGCATTGAGTTCTGTGAGACGAAGTTGTAAGATGTGGATGTAGAAATTCACATTATGTTGTACACCATCTTTTTAAATTGCCACTACGGCTACCATACTTTTTCGTACCACCTTTGCAAAATTCATCCACCATTTCAAGAAATCATCCACTAATTCACCAATTCATCCATCCTTTTATCAATTCATCCATAATTTTATCACTTCTTCCACCATTTCATGCAGCAATGTATGTTGATCAAATCTTGTTTTTGATTATTTATCAGTGCGACCGAAAAATTTTCAAAGAAGTATCTATATGAAATTTTATAAACCACGTTCCCGCTGCTAACTTCATCATCAAAACGAAAATCAACTAATTCAATTTCACTGTCAATTTTTTCTATCACCACTATCATCATCATCATCATCAGCAGCAGCAGCTGTGGCAGCAGCAGCAGTACAACAGTGTTGAAATCTCTGATGGTGATGGACAACGTTAGTTTAGTTGGACGGAAGGAATTTTTATGGCAAGCCAGGTACGTTAAACACACATCTGAATGTCGGGGCCGGGTAAGTTATGATGACAAATGATGATGATGATGATGATAAGGATGATGACGATGATGATGATGACGATGATGGTGATGATAGTGGTTTTGATGATAATAAGGATGATGGTGATGATGAAGATGAAGGTGACGATGATGATAACGATTAAATTTGCACGACTTCAACCTAGCGGCATCGTAATTCAACCGCGCAAAACAAAACAAGTGGAAAAAAACCTGCACGATTTTTTCAGATATTAGATGCTTATTTTCCATCATCGTCTTCTTCCTCAACAACGGCATCATCATCATCATCATCATCTTCATCAACATCATCTTCTTCATCATCCTCCTCATTCCCATTCGCTTACATCGCCAACGGATCCGACTCTCACCTCTACAAATTGGACTTGCATCGGCGGAAGTACGTCAAAAAAATCTCGCTGGTGCATCCCTGCCGAGTCTCGTCGGTAGTTTTCATCGGTGTCGGTAAGCTCGTCGAGTTACTTTCGAATACTTTCTTCACTTTTAATGATTCTTAATATTTTTCAATGTACTCTCGTAATTTTTATTTGCTTAAAATGAATTGAGTTGAAGAAATTTGTAATTTGTTATTTGGAGAAAATTTTTGTGAGAAACTCAATGAAACAATTTAAGTCCATACAAATTCAAGTGGATAAAATAAAATGACGTCACCATTACATCACCCTGTTGCAAGTATAACCTTTGCCTTGAGACTATAACAACGTAGATCGATCTAGTTAACTTTTTATCACTTTATTATTTTGATTATATTCGTTTGGCTGCCACGTAAAGCTTGTCAATGGATTGAATTTAAGCCTCGGGACGTGTTCCTATCATAAAAACGAGATGTTTTATTTGCTAAATGCCTAAAAATTCACGCACACACACGCACACACGCGCACGCACATACATGCCACACACGTACGACGCACATAAACACAGATATAAAGACACACACACACACATAAACTCACACACATAAATAAATAAACGCAAGATTGAAGATGGAGATATTTTATAGAGATGGCTTCACGCAATAAACATACGCAAATAGAGATTTGCAAATGATGCAAGGAGAAAATATTTCGTAGATTCTGAGCTCAGCAAAAACAAATTATTCGCCTTCTTTAAAAATGCACTTCATATACTTTACAAAAATGGTGAGTTTCTACTGTACATCTCATGCTATTGTTTCCAAAGTTATAATCTAAGTAATGAGGGTGCTTTCATCGCAAGTTAGTCTTCAAGGGGATCTGTTTTAAGTCTCACAATTTCAAAGCGAGTGGTTTGGAGCGTGTGTATTTATTGTTAATGTTTTGGGTTTAGAATATCATAAATACAATTATTTGATCTTTATAAATAATTATTATTAATGGGTATGTGTAGCCATGCGAATACATGCATCAAATTTTTTAAAATTTCAAATAAAAAAACTAACATGGCTACGTCTTATATACATAAAACAATTTTTTCTGAAAATTAGTCATTTATTTTCTTAAAGCATTTTGTGTAGAGAAAATATTTTTAAACAAACAACTTGATTATTTTATACACAATTCAAGATGTTCAGAAATAATATTCACATTTACAAACTATCTCCATCATCAGCAGCATTGTCCACACAAACAACAACATCTGTATTACAAAAAACTTCTGTTTGAAAGCTAGCAATAAAAACATTTTCATCAGAAGAAATTGGATTTGAGAGACTTCTTGAATATTTAATCAACTCAAAGTCGTTCACATTTTTTTAATTAAACTGGCTTTGCAAGACACTTAACACAATTAAATGATTTCTTCAAAATAAATGTTCGAAAAAGTTTAAAATGGAAATTTTTTCGTTTTTCATTTTCACGAAAAAACAGCAGGCAAAGTCGTGCTGATGTGTGCTGCCGAGAAGAAAGTGAAGTTGAGGTTAGTGGAGCTTCTAGTGTTGTCAGGTCCAGGCAATATAAACCGCATCTTAAACTTTTTACACATAACAACTGCACCCCATGTCAACAATGACATCTCACCACTCGAAAATGCTGCCAACGTACGCACAATTACGATTGACAACAAAAAAAACATCCAATCCAATGAATCGTATCGCTTTAAAATCTTTAAAGTTTAGATCTTAAAATTCAAAAACTCGTAAACGCTGCTAACCTTACCATTCATCACAGTTGACATTCTTTTTCCACCATTCCATCCACCAACGTTGTTAATAATAAAATTATTCTCAATTTTATTCACAATAATTCCACCTCAAAAATTGTTAACAGAAATCACACTGATGATGAGGATGAAGAAGAAGATGGATATGTGAATGGTGATGATCCGCGGCATCTCAAAAGCAACTGCATAATGTTGGACATCATGACGGATTCTTCGGAGGTTTGTGCGTTCCGAGGCGGGCTTTACGTCAGCCAGGACAACAAACACGTCGTGAGTTACGATAGCGACGAGAACTATATCGACGTATTCGCTCAGCAGATTGACGGTCCGTGTGAATCAAACATTTCGTCGATTTATTTTTTTCTCCGTTATAAATTTTTGTGTCAGAGTGTAGATATCAGAGCAAGTAATTCCGCCGTTTGCATATCGTAATAAAAAATGTATACACTGAGCCTTGGTCATTTATCTTCCAAATTATTGGACATTCGTCACGACAGCCATTTCACATCGAGCACGAAACCAAGCAAGCGTGATGATGATGCTTTTGCTAATTTGAATACCAGCGCGTTAAGTGGGTGCTTTTATGTGCACAGTCATTCGTGCATGTCACTTTCACATATCGAACCATTCTTTTAAACTAAGTAAAAGAATAATTAATTAATTAATTAATTAATTAATAGGAAAAAATCTCATTGATTATACGTCGTACCCAAACTAAATTAAAAAAATTTTGTTTATTGGCAGTTGTTGAATATGTAGATGTTTTGATGTTGCATCTGTTACGACTGACCACTGTTACATCTTTCATACATTCACAACAAAGCGCTGTACTAAATTGCCTGAATGTTTCATCTGTTTCAATGTTTAAATGCAAAGAAACTTAATGGAAAATTTAAAAATATAATTTGTAGATTATCATTTTTTAAATAAAATATTTTTTAATATGAACCAGTTCATACAAAATTTTGAAATCGTTGAACCATCCTGTCAAAAAAAAATTGAACGATGCAGGTTCTTTAAAATATCTACACGGCAAACATCTCATTCAAGATAAAATCAACGAAGTTCTCCTACTGGACAGGCTGGCAGGCCCTGAAATGGTTGCTTTGTCTTCGGCCGAGGGTTCCTTGCTCTTTGTGCAACTTGAAAATTTAAATTTTGAAACAATCGAAGGTTAACTTGTTTTGATACACAATTAGTCATGGAATGTATCAAAAAAATTACTTTACTCAACTATTGACTGAAATATTAAAAGAATACGGAACAATACAATAAACAGCAATAGGTCTGGGTGAAGAAGCAAGTGCGAAAACACGGCGTAGACGGTTAATTCGCGACTCCAAGCAGGAAAGTGATTATTTGGCGGTCGACTCGTCCAACATGCTGACAGTCATCGACGTTCAAAGGAGAACCGCCCACTGCCAAATTATAAAACGCCACACAACGAATTATATCATAGCCCACGTGAATTATTAATTGTTAAAGCTAATATTTCTATCGATTTTTTCCATATCTATGAAATTGTTAACTCATGAATACAATTTAATGACTCGAAATAGCAGATATATTGTACGGATTATTAAATTAATCGTCTCAAACTGTAATTTTATTATCAATACTTTTGACATCTATCACGATATCAATTTGCAGTATGTAATGATGATATTATTAATAAGCATAGAACAATAACAACCGTATGATAATATTAAAGAGAACAATTATTATCATTAAAATGTCTAAATATATTAAAGTAGGACGGCAATGTGAATTTTTAAAGTTACAAAAATCAGAAATATACTAACATCTCTTACTATTTTACTTTTTCAATTGAATAATTCGTAAATAAATTATGTTAATGTTGTTAATGTTCAAAAGGTTTTTGAAAAATTAGGCTGATCGTTAACAGAAGTCACGCTTACAAATTGTAAAAAGTATGGAATGTGCAACAAAAATTAAACAAATAATTAATATTTTGACAACAGAATAGTAATTTTTGAGATGAAAATAACCAAATCGACGAAAAAACTATGTTAAGTTTGAAATTGAAATAGGTAGCACATCACTCAGCCCAAATTCTTAGTTGGCTACCTTTCGATTTTCGAAAATTTAATGATAATAATATATTTGCCATTTGCTTCTAAAAAAAATTTTTAAAAATTTATTATTTTTAGTTTTACGTATTGAATATATTATACTAAACAAACTTTCTTTTAGTAAAGTGAATTTCACAATTCAAAGTGAATTTCACAATTCAATTTGTTTTATTTAAGTTAAGCGTCACAATTGTCAAAGTCCTGTCACCATATGACACGAAACTTCTAGTTGTAATCAGTCGTACTTAGCATTTAAGTGGCACTTTGAAATTTCTTTGTTCCATTTCTATATAAATGAAAAGTTGGTAGTGTTTCGAACATTCAACAATCAGTCTAGGTTGAAGTTAGAAGTGTTCAATTTGAAGCATACGAAGTGAAATAAATATCAGATTATGGAGAATATAAGCACAATTGAAATGATAAAATGTGTCAGAGAAGCCGTCAAAGAATACACGGCTGAATTCATTGAAAGTCAGATCAAAAGAGACGTTGCCAAACTAGAAAGATATTTCGTTGAAAACAACAACTGTAAGCTGCCGAAACGTGAAATGAAAAAACTTTCGAAAATGGTTGCTATAGGCAAATCCGGTTGGGTGGATACATTAATTCGAAGAACGTCCCACTTCAATTCATTGCCTCTTCATGATCAGTACGATATAATGAAGAATTTACAAGATTGTCACCGTTCCAATATTTTGGCAGAAGAAACAGTAAAGCACCGAGTAGACATAACGATGCCTGATGATGGCATCAATATCAAAGGACAAATTTGTTTCAAAGATACCTTTCGCCGCGAGAAAATGGAAAATATGAAATATTTTCTGCCCTTTGTTAGAGACAAGTTCATGAACGAGGAGTGTTGCATATGCAACGAAGAATTTGTGCAGAGTTCCTTCGTCTACGAAATGGGTTGCAGACACGCATTCCATTTCAAATGTTTGGACACTTGGCTAGAAAACAAAACAAGTTGTCCATATTGCCGCAAAGCTGTTGTGTCTAAAAAGTCAACTGATACCAAGCATCATGTTAGAGAGGAAGAGGATGGCAGTCAAACCGTCATCATCGTCATCCTGATCTCACCTAATTTTTATTGAAATGTTTTTATAATTGTTGTGTGCTTTAAATTAAATTTATGTTATTCTTTCAGTTTCACAACGTTAACAAACACGCGGTAATAACAAATATTATGATGCAATATTTATGATTAACGTTTGAAAACCATGTTGCTTATTTGAGTAAAACCAGATTTGAGTAAATATTTTTTAATTTCAAAATAAGTTCACGCGTAAAGAAATGATTCTAACGTTAAGATGAAATGTGAATTTACATTTTTATGATGTCAAATTGAATCATATTTGAAATTATTTAAATTCCGAAAAACAATTTAAATATTTATTTTAAGTTTTTATGTTGCAATGTATAAAACTAATAATCGGTTTGAAAAATTTTCTTCTATTATGTTTTTGTTTAATCATTATCAATATAATTGCCGAATAATCGAAATAAATCGTATATCGATATATCTTTACAATGAAAAAATATTTGAATATAAATAATTTTATTTTATTAATTTGATTCATATTTACTTTAAATTAATTTAAACCTTCTCAAAAAATTTACCAATTCATTTTATTCTAACAGAGAATTCATTTTATTTACAATGAGGCTGGATATTTTTTCAAAGACATGCCCAACAAAGAGTCTGTTCAAATTTGCCCCTGTTGTTTCATTAACAACTACTGCATTTTTTTTTGTTGTTCATCAAACATCATTGTTCATTGATCAATCTTTGCTTTATATCTGCTTCAGATTTTCCAGCTGTCAACTCGTTTTGTCCATTGTGTTAATGTTCCTAATTACTATTTTTTCATTTTTGACTATGTTCTTTTTTGCACCTACAACCACCATAAATTCGAACCTTGAAAACAAAACAAGTTGTCCGTACTGCCGCACAGACATTGTGTTCAAAAAGTCAACTAAATCAAGCCATTCTGTTGTAGAGGAAGAGGATGGAAGTCAAACCGTCATAATCTTCATCCGGACAAAACCATTTTCCTATTGATTTAATACTTTAATTATTATTTAAATTTTTGCCGTGAAAACCGACCGACTACCAACTTTCGACCGAATGATTAGTTGATTGATGAATTTATCTATTGATTTATTCGCTAATTTAATGATGAATAACACTTTCAATGTCCAAAGTTATCAAAAAAGTGTCTCAAGAAGCTACAAAGTTAAATTTTATTGTCCCTTACAAATATTACTAAACATAAAAAACATAAAACATAACATAAAAAAAACATTCTATTTAGCAGTGTTGAGTAATGTCATAATTTATTGCTTCTCTTCAAACTAATAGTAATCTTCAAGTAAATAAATTGACATTTATCAAAATATCATATGAAATTAATTAAAACCTCAAATTAATAAGAAAAACCACGACATTCTGAAATATAGAAAATTGTTGCAACGAAAATGAATTGAAATGTTCGCTACACTCAATTATTTTAATGCAATACAAAAAATCCTATGGAAAAGTTATCCACCGAATCTGACAAACATTATAACATTGTCAAATTAATGCCCTAGCGCCTAATTTTTATCTCTTAAACGTTCATTTGCATCTTTTTCATCCTCCTCATTATCTTTGTGGTATACTCTGTTTTCATCTCTATGTATGAAGGAATACACACACCACACACACACACACACAAACACACACACACGTACACATACTGACTGGTCAAAATCTCTGAATCAGGTATAATAAGGAAATAAACACTAAAATAATAAAAAAATAATAAAGATTATCTTAATATATGGAGAGAATCATCTTAAATATCGTAATTTATCTCAACAGTCGTGTAATAAATTTTCAATTTAATCAGTAAGAAGCACTATCAAAACTGCATTGTTTTTTGAGATCATTATCATAATCCAAACTGAACTGAAATTAGATAAGACAAATAGTCGGCAAAATAAACTTCTCTTTGATGTATTAATCCAGAATCGTCATCGATATGGTAGCAAATAAAATTGAATTAATTGTCGGCTTTTAAGAAATGTCGATTGATCTGTTTTTGCGGTATCATCATAAAAAAAATCTTCTGGATTATTTGTAAGAATAATAGCAATATCGCAAGGAGATTAAAGTGTGTGTCTCTCCTTGTCTGTCTGCCTCTCTCTCTTGAAAATTGGTTCTGCGGTGATTATACTGAATTTACAACCATTTTTATTATTTACGCTTTCTAATTAATTTACAAGCAATTTCTAACTATAAGTTCTTACCTCGATCTCACGTCTGTAACATTATGTTTTGTTAATAGTTAGGATGTTTCTACTGTTATAAGTAATAATTACCTTTTTATAAAAAAAAATTAAAAATCCAATTTAATAGATATCGTTTGCATGGAAACAACGATTAAAATTACAAACTTTGAAATGGTTTTACGAGTTGCTCGTTAATTTTAATTGTTTAAATAATTTAAAATGTGATCATATTCGTCGTCAATTTTTTTTTTATCTTTGAAAAAATCATTTTAAATTTTGATTTGGACAATTTTATAATTTTTATGTTGTCGCTAGCGCAGATTTCCCTAACGGAAACTAAAACGAGCCAGACGAAACAATTTGTGTTGAAAAATGAAAAAATTAAAACAGTAGCTAAACAAATAAATTAGTTAAAACAAAATATTTTTGCGTCCAAATTTTTTTGGCAAAATATTATATGATGCAATCTATAATAATCTTAGTTTGAATTACCTTTTTTTATGAAAATTAAAAATCCAACTAAATAGATATCGTTTGCATGGAAATAACAATTAAAATTACAAAATTTAAAATGGTTTTACGGGGACATTAAAAATTACATCATAAAGAATTTGTCAAAATCTTAATAAATAAAATTGTTTTTTTAATTTCAACCTACAAAAAAAATTTTACTTAACAAATTAACTTTGAATTACGATAATTCACTTTATTCTAACTAAGTTCTTTCAAAGACATAATAATCAAAGTCATAAATATTCACGTCACTTTTCTAACTTTCTTTTCTTTGTTCACTTACTATATAAAAGAAGAGTTGGTATTGTTTCGGACATTCAACTATCAGTCTAGCTAGAAGTTAGAAGTGTTTAATTTGAAACATAACATAGGAGTTTAAATAGAAATCAGATCATTATGGAAGCCACAAAAGCAATCGCATTGGAAAATTGTGTTAACGAAGCCATCAAAACTTACCTGCATGACTTCATTGCAAAGGAAATTAGAGCAGACATTGCCAATTTAGAAAAATATTTGGTTGATAACATAAAATGTGAACTACCAAACTGTGAAGTGAAAAAGATTTCTAAAATGTTAGCTATAGGCCAATCCAATTTAATAGATATCATGATCAGAACAATGTCACATTTCAACTCATTGCCTGTTGATCGTCAATATTCTTTAATGAAGATGTTGCAAGATTTTTATCTTTCCAGTGTTTTAGCAGAAGAAACATTGGATCACTACGTAGACGTGACGATGTCGACTTATGGGTTCAATTTCAACGCAGAAATTTTTTACCGGGACAGTTTCCGTCAAGAGAAAATGAAGAATATGAGATATTTTTTGCCGTACATCAAAGACAAGTTTATAAACGAGGAATGTTGCATATGCAGCGAAGAGTTTGTGCAAAGTTCCTTCATCTACGAAATGGGCTGCAGACACGCATTTCATTTCAAATGTTTGGACATGTGGCTCGAAAACAAAGGCAGTTGTCCATGTTGCCGCAAAGATATTGTCTTCAAAAGGGCGAAATATTCCAACTACTTCATTGATGTTAAAGAAGATTGCGGTATACTCGTCATCATCTACATCGCGACTAAACCTTTTCAGTATGAACTTGATGATATTATATAACGATAATTTGAAATGTGATTATATTCGATGTCAATTTACTTTTATTTTTGATTTTTTAAGGAATAATTTTAAATTTTGAAGTAGACAAATTTTTATGTTGTCGCTAGTGCAGATTTCCTTAACGGAAACTAAAACGAGCGAAACGAAACAAATTGTGTTTAAAAACGAAAAAATTAAAATGGTAGCTTACTCTAATAAGAACTTACACGTTATAAACTTTTGGATTATCAGAATGAGTTGTTAGAAATCTATCAATGTTTAGAGTTCGATCAAAATTTTAGCCTCGGCCTGAGGTTGATACTCCAGTAACGATTTTTTTTTTGGATTGTAGAGTAATTAATGAAATCTACCGAATTTGTAACTTTAGCTACTTCAGGATTAATTTTTCCAATTTGTTTTACTGGAATTAATAAGAAATTCGTTTTTATCTGTAATAGTATATTTATATGTGGCGTTACGTCCTGTATCGATTTGACTCAAACGCAGCGCATTTCTTCTACAGAGTATTTAACTCACAACTCCCCTGATTGAACCGCTAACTCTGTTTATAATCCATTTGATTTCATTTAAAAAATCGCAAATTCAATTTTTTTCACAATATTTTATTCACTGAATTAACTTCAATGCATAATGGTGTTTATAACGTATCATATAAGAAATATAACCGAATGCAGTAAAGTACATTAAAGTATCGATTGAAATAAATGATTAATTAAAAGGTTGCGATAATCGCATGTCGCAAATGTAAATCCTTTAATACTTCCTGGAAAATATTAATTAGGCAGTGAAATGTCGCTGTCACTTGACAAGAAAATATTCTCTTCTCTTTAAAAATTTTCGAGTATTCGCAATTTAAATGATAGCATAGCTAACAGGGAAATTTAAAATGACAATTGGAAAAGAAGAAAGAATCACTCACAAAAAAATTCAACAAGGTTTCGAAAAATAATAACATGGAAACGTTGGTTGTCCTTTGAATGTATCAACACATTAGCGAGGAATAACAACAGAATTCGCGAGAAGCCTTTAAGAGCAAACAGCTAATAAAATTTGGCTGAGATAAGAATTAAAAGTGGAAAAGTTATTTGAACGGCAACGACGTACCAAACCAGGAAAGTGAAGTAAAGGTCAAAACATCATCAACGTGTTTGGTTGGATGAGCCCACAAGTACACATTTGATTAAATTAAATTCATCAGACCTTTTTTTATGCAGTCCTGAATAAAAAAAAACATTGATTAAACCAAAAAATAAAAACATACCTTATATATATATCTATTTTTAGTAATATGAATTTGCTAAGGCACATTAAGGCCTGAGCAAACACGAACAGATAAATAAATAAAAAACGAAATCATTAACTGGAGTAAATTTTAAAAAAATAATGACTATGGCAATGTAAGGTTGGTTTGTACACACATAAACACACACAAACACACCCAAAAACACGGACACGCACACATACACACGCGCCAAATCACAGACATACTCAGACAAATGTACAAGCAGCGCGAATGAAAATAATATTTTATGATATGAAAATATATTTCGAAGTTCATGAAAATATGACAGATATAATAGATAGAAAAAAATGAGTAAATTTAATAAGCTTAATTAATAATTATTAAAAATAAAAAAAACCATTTATAACATTTATTACACACACACACACACACACACACACACACACACACACACACACACACACACACACACACACACATATATATATATATATATATATATATGTGCATACATATATATTATATATACTTATATTATATATATAAGTAAATGTTAGAAAGAGACCATAATTTGTACAGTATTATATAAATTTTATCGAATTTTTGGCATTAATCAATTTAAAGTTTATCTCTTTTTTAAATTGGTTAGTGCCAACAATTCGGTAGAATTCTTACAATACTATATATATATATATATATATATATATATACATATATATATATATATATATATATATATATATATATATATTAATTAATTAATAAATAAATAATATACCCACACACACACACACACATATATATATATATACACACACACAAACATTTATACCGTTTGTGGTTGTTAAAAATTGAAAAATTGAAGTTTCAAGAAGATATTGGGAAAAAAGCAGCAGTCATGGAAATTAAAAATATAATTTGAAAACAAATTTTCATTTGAAAAGTCGTAAACACTGAATTGAAGGATGCAAAGAATGAAATAAAATAAATAAATAAAAGTGAAAGAAGAAAGTAATATATATCAATCGAATATAGAATTTTATTTTTGAAATATTTTAATTCCAACATTTTTAAAATAAAAAAACATGCTCTCTAGAATATATATATATATATATATTCTAGAACATATATATATATATTATATATATATATATATATATACAATATATATACACGCACATGTATTAACGACAAAGTTGCAACAAACTGAAAAACAAAAAAGCAAATGTAAAGTTGGGAATGAAAATGCAATAATGAATAAAAAAGCAAGAAAATAACCTCTCAACAACCATTCAAGATGGACAGTGCAGCATACATATTCGCACCTCACGCATGTAAATACATATTATTAATTAATTTATTTATTAATTCATTCATTAATTAATTATTTTATTTATTAGTTATAAACACTTGTTTTCAATTAGCATCAAACAAAAGTTTGCAAGCCTGAGTATATGGGTGATTTTTTTATTAGTGACACTAGTAGCAGAAAATGAGGATTGGAAGTAAGAACTGGCAGATAGATAACAAAGGTTCAACAATTTCCGGTACGGAGAATAGTGATACGGGTTTGTTTGATCGCGATTCATCAGATGAAATGTAGTTGTTCAATAAAGAATATACAAACCTGGAAATAAAAAATTGACGTCTCACAATTGAGCGCGAATTCGATCATAAATTATGAAAGTGAAAAGAAGTGCCAAAAATATTTTTAAAAAAAGTTATACAAGAAGAAATAATAAAACTAACAAAATTATTCAACTAGTGGTATGATCATATAAATGCGGACAGACGAAAGAGCGTCGGTAAGGAGAAAGGTGATAAGAAAATGTAAGAGCATTGGTAAAACTGGATAGAAGATATGGTCGGAACAGGCCTTGGATAACGAAATATATTTCACCTGGTGCAAACAATTGTTTTGCTCGCATCACATGTCTGATGATTTTTTGATATTTTATATTGACCCCCGAACACTTCAACACTGACTGACTCACTCACTGACTCACTCACTGACTCACTCACTGACTCACTCACTCACTAACTCACTCACTCTCTCACTCAAACGCCTGTGCATGTAAAATACACGGTTGAATGATGAGCACTTTTGGAGGACGAATTATGTTGTACGTGTTTAATCAACCGTTAATAAATTATGATAATACACATATGTACGCATTTCATATTGAGACGTAAATAATATTATGCATGTCAACAAAACTAATAATAATACGAACACATTAGTATTGATACATTAACATTAATATGCCAATATTAATATTCATCATTGTATAATAATATTAATGTTAACGTATCATTGCCGAAATGACGTCATACATAATAAGGGCAGCAAAGACGAAAACAATAATGATAATAAAATAAATAATGACTAAAAAGAATATTGAATGATGGAGCAAAAATATTGATGGTGACGGTGATAAAATAATGATGAAGGTAAGTAAGATGATGATATCGAAGAGTACAGGTCAGATGTTGTCAACGTTCAATGCACTCGTCTTCCTCGTAACGTATTCGTCTTGTCATCGCATCAAAAGTTCCTGGATGTATATCAACTTTCAATTATCATCATCGTTATAAACATCCTATTGTCGTCGTCACCGTTAATATAATGGAATCACAATTATTACAACTCATTAGAAGCATGATCACTGCACGCAACGAGAAACGATGTTGGCTTGACGTGGGTCGGCGAGTTAGCTCAGTTGCTAGAAGTGCCATGTCTCGCGCTGTTATACGCGGTGGTTCGGTTCGATTACTGTCTGATCACGAATAGATTAAATTACGCTCACTTGAATGAATCTAGTGCATATGAATTCAAAAATGGACAAGCCTTTCAACACTATGGCTTCATCAATTTTTTAAATAAAAACGACCATAACAATAACGGCAAAGTTATTAAATAGTAAGTAAGGTCTCTTGTGGCAAAAAGTAATAACATAACATTTGTTTTTAATTTGAAAATAAATTGAAAATATTATTTTGAGTTTTTATGATCATATGAAATAAACGTAAGTATATGTTACCTGGAAGTGTTATTGGCAATAAGTTTTCTTCCATGTCGCCACCATCATCATCATCACCTCTGCTTTCATATCCCTTCTCACCTTCGTTCTCAACACTTTTGAGCAGTTGCGGATGAATGTAGTTCATCCAGTAACCAGGCTGCGTTTCTTCTTCCAAGCGATGATGCTGCTTCTCTTCACCTCCATGTTGACGCTCGATTTTTAGCAATTTCTTCATGTGTTCCGACCACAACTGGCGTTCTCCGTCAGTTAGTTCTCCCTGCTGCCAGATCCCAACTCGCCGTTCTTGCTCAGATGATGGCTGTTGTTGTTGCTGCTGTGGCCAGTGCAGTAGATGGTCATGCCGCACATCACGTTCTGCAAACTGATAATCAGTTGTAGTGACCAGACGTTCATTCTCATAAACATCGTCCACGGTGTAATCGCCTGCATCACCATTCAGAACAACTCCATCAGGAAATTCGTTTGATAAATTAGCCAAGATTTCGCCATTAAATAGTTGGTTACAACTCCCCATTTGATCAAGCAAATCTTCACAACAAGCTTCATTTTGGTAGGTGAAAGTACTTGTATTAAGCGCAAAACATTTAATTCCTGATGGCAAATCGATCTGTGATGCTCTTCTAGCATTATTTTCAGACAAATGATTGTTCTGCAGTTCACTCAATTGCGTTCTAAACTTGTTAACAGCTTGGCGTGTTGATGTTTTCGTGGAATTACTTTCAGTTTTTTGTTGGAATTTGTAGGAATAGAAATCGGGAGCGTGTGGGTTCAACTGACTCTTGGAAGCCAATTCCTTTATTTTCTTCTGACTGAATTTGGGCAGTCTGTCAACTGAAGATGGCGAGCTTGATTGGCCTGAAGAAGATATCATGGACTGCATAGACAAGCAAGGTGAGTTGAATGAAGGTTCTGTATTAGTTGTACAGTCAAATAAAAAACCAGAGTAGTTGGAACTGCTGTCAGTGTAATGATCTGGAAGCTCTACCGTTTTGGGTTGGAATGAAATTCCCAGGATTTGAAGGTCAGGCAAGTCACATCTGCACGGTGTTGGCGAAACGTCCGTTACAGACGAGTTCAACATGGCAGTCAGAAAACTGAATGAATCATTATTCAGATCCATGCACGACGAGCGGCTATTGTTATTATCAACGACATTCCCTGTTTTCTTAGGCAGTGAGTTTTCTTCATGAACATTTAATGAAGATTTCAACTTGGTGCTGTAGTAATCATTTGCATTTGTAAAATAATTATTTGCCTTGTTCTTATTGCTTTCAATGAAGTTACCAAGTTGGTCACCCAGGCTGTTGCTGAATAATGAATATGATGCTTCATGGCCTTGCTTGGTGTAGGCCTTTGGGTTGAAACTGTTCGACGGCTGTCCTCTTGGTGGAATTGATGAAGTCATCGTTGATGCTAACATTGATGTCATCGTTTGTAAAGCTGGTACTGCGTTGTGTCCCTCAGTTACTCTTGCTGCATTCAGTTGAAAGCTTGAAAAATCTCCTTTTGTCGGTGTCATTTTTCGGTTTGTTGTTGGTTTCGTTGTTGCTGGTGTGAGTATATTCAGAACTTTAGAAGGTGGTGCTTTCTTCGAGGTAACAGGTGACGGTGACAGCGATGTTGATGACGTTTTTGTAGTTGTTGTAGTTGATGTCTTCGTCTCAGTTGAACTTCTTTTATTACTGCTGGATAATCTGGGTAATTAAATGAAAAATGCCACAACTGTAAGCAAAATGTAAACTCATTAGTAATGATAATTCTTGCCCGCAATAACGGGCAGTAATTCAATATCGTCAACCTGATTTCTCCTTTAAAACTGCATAAAAATCTTTAAATAAACAAAATTTAATCAAAATACTTCTTTTCATTTTTGGAGCATGACATCCTTATAAACTCGGCAATATTTTTTTTGATGGGTTGTACAACTCCAAGATTCATTAGCACAGTGGATTGTGTCGCATCGACATCAACTTCAGCTGTCGTCATTGTAGCCGCGTTCAGTTTCACGGGCATCATGAATGAACTTGTCATCAGTGAAAAATCCTCTGTATTTGTTGAGGTTGTTTTCATTCTTGTCAGCGGTATTGAAAGTGCATGTGTGTTTATTGAGCCGCATGGAAATGTCGTTGTATTTGTTGTAGTTGTTGCTGCTGCAGCTGCTGGTGTTGTTGTCGCTGTTGCAGAAGTTGTCAATGTTGTTGAAGATGACGTCGACATCGATGACGTTGTTGTTGTTATTGCGACTAACAATGTTGGCGTCGCAGGAGGCACGCTTGTTGAGATTCCACTGAGTTTCTTGTTCCTTTAAAAATAATTCATTTGAATGATTAAAAACTTGAGAAATTACAAATTGAATTATATATATATATATGTTGGTAATAGACCATAATTTTTACAATATTCTATAAAACTAAATGTTCACCAAAAAACTTTAGTGAGAAAATTCGAAAAAACGAACTACAAACATATTAACGCCAAACATTCGGTAGAATTTATAGAATATTGTATATATATATATATATATTCATAAACTTTTTATTCCATGATCCATCCATTCATCCATCTGTCCATCCATCCACCCACCCATCCATCCATCCATCCGTCTTATTACTTTTTGTTGTTCACTTCAATCCAAATACTGGCATCTACATCTGACTTTGAAATATTACTGTTGTAAACGGAGGTAATAATGATTATTTATAAGATATAATAATAATAAAATAATATTAAAATAATAATAATAACCAAAGTATTGAGAATAGGTACAAACATGATGGATGTCATATTATGAAAAAAAAAGAAGAAATCTTTTGAATGAAAGGAATGGCAGTTAACGGTTCTGCTCCGTCTTCATCATATGAAGAACCAAGATGATGATGATGATCACGACGTTGGTTATAATGTTGGTGGTGATAAAAATATGGTGATAATGATAAAAAATGATGACGACGATAAACGACAACGTGTTCATGTATCATGATATCTATCCGTGTAAATTTATCGATGTAAGTATCGATCATGTATGTATTAATCCATCAGTTAAAATAAATAAACAACGCATTTTTTAAACAATTTAAATAATTTTAGTTTATGATACCATTGAAATTTCAATAATTTCTCTTTTCTTTTTCCATATTATTTTTAAATATAACAATAAATAATTTCAATATTATTAATTTTCTTTCTTTATGTTTCCAAAAATTTTCTAACGAACAACGTCTTGACGACATGAGCTCAAAAAATCCAAAATACGATTGACGGACAGGCAATGTCTGACAGATAGGAAAATGACGATATCTCCTTAACTAAAGATATCTACTGCCATATGAACCGCAATATTGAGCATATAGTAAAAAGATTTTTAAACTGTACCTCACCAAACATTGTCAAAACTATCAATATAAATATTAAATCTTATATCAAAAAATGTATACCTCGATAACAACTCGATATTTATGTTACCTCTCAGAATGTTTTACATATTATGTCCTACATTTTTTTTTGACAAGCGTGTTTAGTGTATCAAAAAACAATTATTGATAAACATACAAAGGCCAAAGACAATCGACGCATACGTACATCATGTTTCAGATGCCATTTATTAGAATTCCTTGACTCTTTTAAATGTTAATAGCATGAAAAAACAATTAGCATCAATTAGATGTTTATCCTTGTGACATATAATACGTGACTTGATAAAAAAAATGCTATGCTATGCTATGACTGGCTGTGTTTTGTGTGTAATGCAAATTATATTTTGAGTTGTAATTTAGTTTATAAATTCAAATTAAAAATTCACAGTTTCTCCATGAAAAAGTACCATTCATAAACCTATATGATTTAAATAAATCAAGGTCAGTGCTGCTGGTCCGTTGGCACAATTAGAACGCTGTCAAAAACTGAAAGAACATCGTACAGTACAGCGTACACGCGTCGTACTGTGTAATGGGTGTACAACTTTTGTTGCACAAACGCGTAATTATAATTGTAAGACCAAAAAAAGTGCGTGAACAGATCTGCATTTGCTAAAGTTGCACAACTAGGAGCAAAAAAACTAAAGCAAATGTTTCATTATATTTTGTATCATCCTCTCATTAACATTGGCCTTGTCTAAATTAAAATAACGGACTGTGTTGGTATGAAACACTGGCTATATATATATATATATATATATATATTATATTGCCAAGTTCAAAGTCACACGCAGAGAGTATGTAAAAAAATATCACTATGACTTAAAACTGAAAAAGTTTATGTGATTGAGTGAAAAACTGCCAAGCAAGGATTTAGATAATCAGTTTAAGGTTAACTGTAGAAGAGCTTTCACATAAACTATTTGTGTTAAAAAAATTTTAAGCACACAAAACATTATTATTATCATGTAGACTACTGCTGAACAGTTTAAAACTCAAAAGATATTTTAATAAACTGAATGAATTTCATAATCAAAAAATTTAACAACTTACACGTAAACAGAACTGATCAATATAAAAGTAGAAAGATAATTAAAAAACAAAATTAGTATAAATAAGAACAAAACTTCAACCCTACATGTGCATATCAAATGAAACCTCACCTCAACTGCGGATTAAACATCTGCCATACATCACCATTGACAACTGCCCTACCAGGGGTCTGACAATCTGTGCCGCAAGATGGAATGCTGTTATCAACTTGGCCTGCATGTGAACTGGCAAAGAAAGTTTTGGACGAAGGTGAGGACGATGACGATGCCCTGGAAACAGGTGTAGATGATGTCAGCAGACAAGATTGAAGTTTTGGTCTCCTTGGGGTCTTAGACAGGAATGAGGAGTTATTTAGACGAGCGATAGCTTCGAAATCATCTAATGTACCAGCTGATGAAATAAATTTTAAACAATTTAAATTTATGTCAAATGTCTTATCGTGGGTTTATTTAGTTTTTCACAAAAAATTTAAACCTTTCATATGAAACCAATTAACTTGAAACAGTTGAATTTAAATATTATGTGGTTATGGGAGGAGAACAGACCTGGGTTTATATTGTCCAGAGTGTCAAGATTTCTAGTGGTCGAATCGGGACTGGAGCCGTAGTAGCCAGTGCCATCATCTTCCTCTTCCTCATCACCATCATTTTCAACGTCATCGTTGTTCAGAGAGGACAATTTTTTCAGCTGCATTAATTGCTTAAGACTTTGTTGCTGCTGTTGAATGATAAGAGACTGAAAATGTTGGTCATCTTCGCATTCTTTCTGCTTGCGCTGAGATTTATTGGCATGTTTCTTGTGAGGAGCTCTCTGTGAGATGAGCATTGCAATCAACAGCTCGTCCTCTCCGATTCTGTTGTAGCCAACTTTCACCTCTTCACCAATGGAAACGTTAGAAACATGTCATTATGTGAAAATGTTTCAACAATTTTTAAAATTTATTAAGATCATTCAAGTAAAGTATTCAACTCGCCATAAATAGAGGTAGTTTACAATGAAAACAATAAAAAATATATAAAAAGATGATAGAAGATTTGGAAATTTACCATTTGGACCATCAAAAATATGGAGAGCCTCTTTATAATCGTTATCAGCACTTGCATTGGTGGCGGAAGTAGTAGTAGCGTTGCTGCTGACATCGTCCTCACAGCCATCAATTCCATCGTCATCATCTGATATCAATATGACGTCATCGTTCGGATCAATTGATGTTGGGTCTGACGATGACGGATTTAATAATGATGTTGGAAGTCCTGTTTCATTCTTGTTACTACGATTATCATGCCCAACGTTATACTTTGCCATGACGTCAGTGATGATGTCATCTTCAATTTCGTTCACGTTGTTGTCTGTAATTTCATCCAAATTGTCTAAGTTACTGCCAGCGTTCTGAATGAGTGTGACATCGACTTCAATGTTCCTGTCAGTTTTGTCGTTGTCATTTTCTAGGACGTCTGGGTTGACATCAGCGTTTATTTCGTTCACGCCATTAGGCGTTATCGCATCCTTATTTGTTGCTAATAAAGGAGTGTTGTTTTGTTGTTGAAGACGTTGTTTGTGTTGTTGTTGTGGTTGCTGTTGTTTTTGCTGTGATGGCTGTTGTTGTTGTGGTGGTAGTGTTGGTTGTTGCTCTTGCTGTAGTTGTCCTTGCCTTTGTGATTTTTGTAGTAATTCCTGTTGTTGTTGTTGTTGTTTAGACTTTGCATTTTTCTTTTTCTTTTTTGATTTTCCTGCAGTTCAAAAAATTACACTTGAAAACAAAACAAAAACAAAAACTACGACATGGACAACAACAACACCAGTGCAAACAGATATTACAAATCCTATCACCTTTTGATAACGTGCTGTTTAAAGTTTGTCCACCATGCTGTTTGTTTTTAGCAATGTTGTCCAACCGCTGTGAATGTTCTTGCCAATTAATGTGGTTTTCATTTGCGCTGCTTAGTGCCGCTAATGAAGTTACTTCAAGAAATTCCTCTACTTCAGTCACATCAGACAACATGGAAGGCTTACACTCAAAAAAGGAATTGATTTTTAACTTTGGCAAAGCTGATGTAATTGTTGATAATGTTGATGTAACTGTTGGTGTTGTTGATGTAATTGTTGATGTAATTGTTGGTGTTGTTGGTGTAATTATTGATGTAATTGTTGGTGTTGTTGATGTAACTGTTGATGTTGTGGATGTAACTGTTGATGTTGTTAATGTAGCAGTTGATGTAACAGTAGATGTTGTTGGTATTGTTGATGTAACTGCTGATGTTAGGAGATGCGATGATGCTAAAAGAGGCAAATTTGTTGCAAGCCTCGTAGAAAAATTCTTTTTCTCGACAGATTTATCTGACTTTTTATTATTTCTACCAGATTTTGTAATATTCATGATTGCAGATGTTTTAGTTATCATGGCTGGCTGCCGATTTAACGCACATAAAGTTTTAGCACTAGACTGAATTTCTGTGTTTTTAGCTTTCGTTTTTGCTGTAGTTGTGATTGTTGCTGTTGTTGGTGCTGTTGTTGGTGTTTTTGTTGTTGAGACTTTTGCTATTGACCCTTCTGCGGTCGGTTCTGAATTTTCCAAACTATCAACTTTTGATTTTGCTGGGGATGTTGTAAGGTCCTCCTCCACCTTATCATCTGACACCATCAATGTTTGGGATATTTTTGTCAACTTAGAATCTGTCATCGTGGTCATTGTGGATGTCGGTCCTTTTAATGTTGACGTTGTTGTTGTTGATGGTGTAGTTGTTGGTGTTGTTGGTGTAGTTGCTGTTAAGAGTGAATGTCCAGTTGACGACATCAGGGACATCTGAGATCTCTTCAAAACAGACGTATAGCGATCCTGTCGAATTGAAAAAAGTTCTATTAAAAACAACATGAATGAGATGTCACGAAGTAACAAGGAAAACATCATGAGTGAGATCTCACGAAGTAACAAAGCCTTATCTGTCTAATACATATACTCAAAAAATTATCATCAAGACGATTAAAATAATTACAAACAAAAAACAGTTAATACAACCGCAAATAAATAATAAAATCAATAAAAATGGCAAAACTAATGAACATACACTCAGTAAATAACAAACAAATAAACAACAAAAAAACAACGAGATAGAGAAAGTAAAAAAGGAGAGAGTATGAGATGAGCTCAACATAGGATTCCATAAGCAGCGAAACAATGTGGACCATGATTGCAGGCTATCAAATGGGTGGGCATTATAAGCTATGTTTGAGAAATTAAATCATTTTCGTTCTATTGAAATAAAAATAAGCACAAATTTTGCACTCATACATACATAAATACGTACATGAATCATGCATGCATGCATACATACGTACATGCATGCATACATGCATACATACATACATAAATATTAGAAAAACACCGCACAAAATCCTAAAATATAAGGAAATTAGGAGATTGATTGATTGATTGATTGATTGATTGATTGATTGATTGATTGATTGATTGATTGATTGATTGATTGATAAAATAACCAAAAAAAAAGAAAAAATGTCATCAACATTTTTTTGAACTAACATAATCACATTTTCACCGAGTTTGTGGTGTGCAGCGTAAAAATGTTGGGCAACCCTGAACTAATGAGTCTAAATCAGATTAATATTAGATATGTCATCTGTTCACACGTCAAACTTTGTTTAAATGAATAGATTCTACTCTTTACCAAATCCAACCATGTTATATCACACAAAAAAGCCTACAAAAACTAATAAGGTTGAAAAGATCTTCCATAACTGAGATATGTGAGAAGCAAATAATTTATTATCATCTCATCTAATTACTCTTCCATTCATCTCGGTATTCACAACATCATTTGAAATAAAAGATGGCATGCAAGGTAGAAACACCCAAGTACATTCAAAGATGTAACAATGATTACAGGTCTGCTTATTTCAGCCAATGCTCACCTCAGCCTAATCAGCTAACTCAAATAATTTCTCTATCTCTCTCTCACTCACTCTCTCTCTCTCTCTCATACACACCCACACACACACACACAAACAAACATCAGATAGATAGTTGCACCGAAATTACACACATTATAACATGAATAATCTAAAAAGCCATAACTTAGAAAAGAAACAGATTTTTTCAAAAATGCATAACATGCACATGATTCACTAACAAATTTAGGCACCCATCGGCATCATTGCCTGGATGTAAAAATTAAAATAAATTGTTTCGGTTAACTATATCAAGTTATATATATACATATATATATATATATATATTTATATATATATATATATAACTATATAAAACTATTAAACATCACCCTTTAATTAATTGAATCATCTGACAAATGTTCATCTTAATTATCCCAAAAAATTATTTGTAAACAAATATATATCTACACGCTAACCCAATTTTATATATTATATATATATATATTCACCAACACAATTATATATATATATATATATATATATATATATATATATATGAAGAGAGAGAGATAAAAAAGAGAAGAGAGAGAGAGAAGAGAAAGAGAGAGAAGAAATGAAAGTTGCTCCAAAAAAATCCCATGCGATTTATTAAAATAATAGTTAATAGCTGTGTGTATATGTATGTATATGCACGTAATTGTGTGCATGTATGAGTATTTTTTGTATGAGTTAGTGATAATTAACATTTCATTATAATCAACTGTCTACTAAGATATGATTGCAGAAATATTTTCTTTTCTTGATGATATTCATTTTATATTTTATGTTTCTTCAGCAATGACAAACATTGATTTTTGTTTGGGTGACTGTGCCCGATGAGTCTCTATTAACTACTCACAGTCATCCTTGGCCTTTGATTTTATTTTTGGAGGTGAAAATAAATAAATTAAATTAAATTAAAAACAATTGGAAAATGAATGACATTTGAGTGAAAAGTAAACTTGATAATACTAAACTCTATTATTTGCGTGATAATAGACTTTAAAGATCTCATTCTTTGTGCAGCGCTCAGCTTTTAAAACCCAGATTACTAAAATGCACACATGCAATAACCTTGAAAACGACAGATGACAGAAAGAGACGTGAATTATGCTATGCATGTGACTGTAGAAAAATAACTAGAGCAACATTCCATTATGAACACGCACAAGTAAAATACAAAAAAAAACACTTTCCTTTAACTTAAACAGCAATTCGTAAACCAAAATAAACCCATTTTAAAGTAATAATGAAATATAAAAACTTGAATGTTTGGAACTCGAACGGCGAAATAAAATTACAAATAGAAATATAGAAAAAGATGCGTCTTTAATTAAGCACAACCATCTATCTAACTGACAGCAGTGATGTGATATTTCTTGCTTCCTTCAAAAAATCTATCTCCTAATTACACTTTGCTCCACTCCACACTGTTTGTTTGTTTGTATGTTCTGAAAATTTTTTGCTAATTATATTTATTCTACACTTTTATAGTTAATTTCAACTCAAGCCAAATTTTTCAACCTTCAGAGTGTGTTTAATAAAAGTTTTATCAAACAACACAAAACAAGACCACATGGAATTGAAAGACAAGTTGTTTGTGATCTAACTGAGCATAATAAGTCAATCAACTCGACTGAAATGGTTTACAATACAATATGGACTTGTATAAAAGTTGGAGCTAATTAACGGTGATGACGCATTACATACATTACATAACCACTCAAGCTCAAGATTATATTAGGAAAACCCAGGTCAATAATAATGATAATATGTACTCTCTCTCTCTCTCTCTCTCTCACACACACACACACACAAACACACACACATATATATATGTGAGTGTGATGTGTGTGCAGTGTGTGCATATATATATATGTGAGTGTGGTGTGTGTGTGTTTATGTGACAAGTGGACAACAAAATGATTTGTTTTTTTATTATATACATACACTCATTAGTTGGATTGTGTGCATGATAATCTAGATTCCAATTAGTCATTGTATTCTCATATACAAAGACACACATGTACACATACAAAGCACACACGTACGCATACATTTCAAATATAAATACATATACACAGAGATACAGATATATTCGCAAAACGGACCAGATGCGAAAATTTTTTTAATAAGAGCCTATGCATGACACAAGTAGTTAGTTCCTCATCATTTTGTCTGTAATGGACAGACATATTTTTTTATATAACAATCAATTCAACATCAGCTTTTCCAGCTGGCATTTACTCAATCCCCCTCTCTCTCTCTCTCTCTCTTTCTCTCTCTCTCTTTCTCTCACTCACTTTCTCCCCCACTCGTTCACTCACTCGTGTTGTTTACTTTCTTCTTATCAGACTTTCAGACTGGGTGACCTAATTTTATTGACTTTTAAGATTTTCCTTCATAAGCACACAAGCGAATTAACAGCACACACCACGCATGCATCATACAATATGTACACTAGCAAACCACTCAATGCAGGCACACAGACACACACAAACCGACACAAACACACACACAAAGACAAGCACACACACACATTCACTGACAACAGAGCAGCACGAAACGTCGTCGTGACGGAAGATAAGCAACAAGCTAAACAAGCCCATCATGTTCTTATTATTCTGCAGTTGCCTTGCTGACGCTATACAATGACACACACACACAACACATAACCATACACACAACACACACACAACACATACACACACACACACAACACACACATACATACTCACATCTATTTACACAAATAGCGTGCGTGGAAATATTGCGAGCGAGGTTAGCACATTCACACACTATGTACACAAGTAAACAACGATAATTTATTCATGCATTCACTAACGAACAACGATAATTTATTCATGTATTCACAAACAAACAACGATAATTTATTCATGTATTCACAAACAAACAATGATAATTTATTCATGAATTCACAAACAACGATAATTCATTAACGCATTCACAAGCAAACAACAAACAAACAGCAATCAGATGATGTAGTGCTGCTCCTGTCAGCTGTACCATGAATGTACCACCACACCACAAACAGGCTTATTCATTATAGTGCGACGTAAGCGTGCATCATTTGCGTGTGTGTGTGTGTGTGTGTGTGTGTGTGTAGCAACTAGAGTAAATATCATAGATGTCTGGACGTATTACATCGAGACACCTTTGGTAAATATATATATATAATATAAATACGTAAACATGTTGTGCATGAGTGTGTATTTTGGTGGGTGTGTATGCGGGCGCGTGTGTGTGTTTATAAATTATGCAATACCCATATGAAGCATGAAAATAATGCGTAACAGTTCAGTGGCTGTCAACCGCTTAGTAAACAAACCTTTGCTCGAGAGTCATATTTGCTTTATTGCTTAACCGCTTTTGTTCTTTCATGAATTCTTTTCCATAAGAAGGGAATATTTATGCGGGGAAAGTGAGCGGCTCAAGTGGTGTATTGGAACGTGGTGACCAACCATAATGTGTCCTTACGTGAGTGTGTGTGTGAGGAGACAACTTTGCAGAAACGCATAAGTGTATGTTGTTCATTTGTTGTTCGTTGGTATTAAATGGTAAAAAAAGTTTCAAATATTAACTAACACTTAAAACTATGTCTGTCGTTCAACAAATTCTAAACCTTCTATACATTGTTATATAATTGTTAGAGCTGTCGAAAACTTTTTGAATTCTGCGGTAGAACATAAACATTTAGCTAGCCAGATGCCATGCTTTAAAAGAAAATTCAAGACTCAGCTGAATGTATCCAACTTTTTGATATCTCAACAAATTAATAATAATAGATTTTTATTAAATAAATTTGGAAGCTTATAATAAAAACAACGAGAAAACAAAAACAGTTGAAAATTAAAATTTAAGTAAAAAATTAATGTTTACTTCTAAGGTACTGCTTATATATTATATTATAAATTATAGCCATAATAAAATTACACATTTAACGTTGGTGAATAAATCGATGTCAAATCTCTTATGGCAAAAAATAAGTTATTGCATTATACGCTATATAAAATTTTGATGTATTTATATTAATATACACAATATTATTATATTATATCGTCGTACATCAATGAAAATATTAATAATATATTGGATAAAATAATATATCTGTTGTTTATTTAATTCAACAACTGATTTAAAAAAGTGCTAAAAACACACAAAAATTATTTAATCAACAATTATCAAATTTTGAATTTTGCTATAGAAAGCGTTAAAACCAATTAGTTTGACTCTAATAAATTTTCAAAGTAACAAGGTATTTTTATTTTGAAAAAAAAAACTTTTATTTTTATATGAAATTTATAAATTTTCAAAGTAAAACAACTAAATAAATATGATTAATTATTAATTTTTTATGGAATTCTTTTATTAATTTTAATCTAAAAAGATAATTTTAAATTTAATTAAAATCTGTTGGATAACATTTTGTGAAATTATTAATTAATATTTTAAAAACTCTTTGAAATTATCATAATAGAAAAATTCTAGCAAAGAAAATTCATCATTTCAAAAAGTTTATTAAGTTAAAAATAAAACAAAAATCATATTTTTTTATTATTAATTATTAATATTTGAAATGAATAAATTATAATTAGACTATTAAAAAAAAACAAATAAAAAAGCTTCAAACCTTTACATGGTGGTTTGACAAATACTGAAATATCTCGTTAACTCTCTGACTGATCATTTCGAAAGCAGGTAATTAAAACGATAAACTAATTAAATTATCTAATTAAAAATAAATAAATGGTATTTTCGTAGTCAAAATGGTCAAAAAATTCGAATTATTTATCTAAAATTTTCTAATGTTTACCAACAAATGTATGATGTTGCTTGGCCAAGACACCAGCCAATCGCGTTAAAGTAGGTAACGTAAAGCCAGCTGTTAACATATGTTCACGTTTTCAAGATCCATATGCAAATTATTTCTAATAGAATATTCATTAGGATTGAAAGTATTGGAAGCTAAAAACCACCTATAAACCGCCAATATTAATACTTCCACATGTATTTTAGTCTCTCTCTCTCTCTTTCTCTCTCTCTCTCTCTCTCTCTCTCTCTCTCTCTATATATATATATATATATATATATATATATACACAGTAAAATGTAATTATCGTAGTATTATTTTATGTCCATAATAGATGTGTGTTCAACGTATTGATCATTGCATTTTGCATTTTCCGAACTGTGCAAATGGGCATAGCAGAAGTACCATTCTGACTTGAAAAATCGAAACTTAATTACGTTGCTTAATCAATAATGTGATGATATTTTTGGTCGTGAAATTGCAAATATTTACTGACAATAAAGTAAAAAATGGAATGAGTGAAAAATATTTCTACAACTTTTTTTACATAATAATTTGAAGAAAGTAGTGGTAGCGATTTTTTGGCTACTTTTTCATTTAGGTAACTGCAGCGATAGTGGCGCTACAACATTTCACTTGCAGCAGCGATAGCGGCGCTCCGTTTCAAAAGTACGTTAACAACTCTGTCAAATTCAAGAAGGAGGGTTTTTCTACTCATATATGTTTGAAGTAAACTCGCGAACGTATAATTTATTGTATTTTACTCAGATACCTGCATAGTAAAAAAGTAAACTAAATATTGTTGGAGCCACCTTTAAAAGAATACCATGGCTCCTCACACGACAGCTATTGGAACTGGGATGAAATAGAGAAACTTGAATTGGAACATGTAGCAGCCTTGAGGTCGATTATTTGGTTGTGGTGTGGAGGCAGCAATGGACTGGAAGCTAGCAGAAGTTGTTTGAAAAAATGGGGCCTTCGGAGATATGACGATATTTGCTGGATTAAAACAAATAAAAAAAATAAAAAAAGAATTGAACAAAAAAAAGTATTAAATTAAACTAAAGAACACTGCTTGATGGGTATAAAAGGTTCAGCTGGTACCGATGGATAATTCATGCATCAAAATGTTGATACTGATTTGATACTTGCTGAACAACCAGAAGACGGTAGTGAAGAAAAACCTGTTGAAATTTTCCACATCATTGAACGTTTTTGTTTCGGTCGTCGTAGGCTGCACTTGTTTGGTAGAGATACATCAGTCAGACCAGGCTGGTTAACAATAGGCCCCAAGCTAACCAGTACAAATTACGACAGGGAATCATATAATGCAAACTTTGTGAAGAATCCGGTAGTCACTCGACTGGTTGCACTGAAGAGATATCAAAGGTTACGCCCCAAGTCACCACCTCGCAAAATTGGACATCAAATGTAGTTTATAAAACCGAAGAATAATTTTGTCTTCATACTAACAAATTGTATCCATTTTTTGACCAAATAAATATTCGTTATTCGCATTTTCAATTTAATGAATAATTTGTGTCAAAAAAGGGTTTACAATAGGTTATGAGCGGAACGTACAGGCAATGGTATGAGGTATGTTATGTTAATTATCGTCTGCGGTGAAATCATCGAAAATGCTGTTCATTCAAATCGTTAAACTTTTAAGTTCCTAAAACTTTTTACTCATAGCATTCAATATGTGTGTTAAGTAGGAATTTGAAAGGTCTGTTATCAATGGCACAAATATTGTCAACATTTTAGTTCCAATATCTGATATATAACTGAACATTACAAACAATGGTATTTTTATTGACCTAATAAAAGTTTTACTGCTCGGTGTGATAAAACGAAATTAAATTTAAGCTCTAAGCTATCATTACCCCCATATATAGAATATATATCATTTGATATATTTTGTATATATGACTACCATATTACGTGTACATAGAATAAAATAAAGATTAAATAAAAATAAAACGCCAACAGAATCCAATGTCTTCGTTGCAGGTCCACAAATAATCAACTCTCTATGCTCGTTAACTTTTAGCTAGTAGTGAGGCACGAATTCAAAATTTTTGTAGCCCTTGTCGTAATCGAAGTCGGATAATCGCACGCCTGCCTGATTTAGGATGTCGAAAAATAAAAAGTCGAAAGAGAAAAAGAAGATACAATTTAATCTCACTTTTGATGATCTCCAATTTGACGATGATAATAAAGAAAATCAAGATATTTCTATTCCTGGTACTGTGGAAGCTACCCTTACCCCACTGTCGTCAAAAACATCAACCTCAATGGCGACCGCTGCTGTTGATTCGACAACCACATCCTCAGCGAGAACTGATGTCCTTGATTGCAATAAAAATCTGATAGATGTTGTTGGTTCATCTCTGTCTGCGTCATCAAACTCACTCAAACAATCCAAAAATTTAGCTGGTTTGAAGCCTGTCAACAAGATTGATGTGATTGCCTCTCCTAGTAAAATGCATCTGTCACCCTTTCAACGCTGCCATCTATTGGAGCCAACCAATCTCTTTTCTTCCCCCAGCATTAATAAAAGTAGTGACAAACCAGCCACGCCTGCATCAACAAGTTTGGCATCTTCTCATCCAGCCAGCCAGCATAATTTAGTTCTTGCAGATGATAAAATATCTAATCTCATAATTAAAATGCACACCTATGTTTCTTATTCAGGTGACAATCACACTGATGGAGAATTAAAAAATGTCACAACATTTAATTATATGAACACTTCTGTACAAACGGACATGAAAACTTTTTCAGATTTTTCCTGTCAGACAAATTTATGTGGATGCTCATTTTTTAACATTAGTAGTAAAGATTGTAAAACAGTTGAAGGTACTAAAAAAAATAACAATGTTAAATCTAAGAAGACAATGAAAAATACAATTGAAAATGACAACATCAAACCGTCAAATCTTTCTATAAACAATGAATCTTCAACTAAAAAAACCTCTAGCTCTACAACTTCTACTTTGGAACCATCAGCCAATACCAATAAGCTGACAAAAAAAGAAAAAAAAAAGAAGCTAAAGTTTTCAGATGAGATCGTTTCAATCTCCAACTCGACTGGTCCGCCACAACATCATTCAACCCCAGCCAAAAGTTCAGACAACACCCTGGATACTGTTGATGTTTGTTTGCAAGTCTCGAGAAGTGATGAGTTTGAACAAGAAGTTAACAATGGTTCTGATCGTGTTAATGGCTGCAACCTTGTTGATAATGCAAACAACATCAATGACAAGCCTTTAACATTGACTGGTTCTCTGAACATTACTTCAGCCCCTGACAATGCCACCACCAATACTACCAGTACTTCTGCTGTGAAGGAGGATGTTGATGGTGCTGGTGACGGTGTTAAACGCGGGAAAACAGTTTCTTGGGGTCGTAGATCTACGATCTTTCGTGTTATTGATGAAGAAGCATATGATGATGGTGATGCTATTGGTGATGACCTCAACGACAATAATAATAGTTTCAGAACAGGCAATAATTATATCAATAGCAGTGACAAACACATTAATAATATCTTTAGCCATTTCAATGATAGCAAATCCATCAATAAGAACCTTGCTAACAGCAGTGCACCAAGTACACCAAACAAATTATGCAGGTCCATTTATAATTCAAATGCTGAAATGACATCAACACCGATGACAACAGCAGCAAGCAAAACGTTGCTTTCTCCTGACACCAAGCAGATGATGTCATTAAGAAGTGTTCTCTTCAATAGTGATGATGATGCCACTGAGGATCACAATGATCCTAATAAAGATGAGGATGATGATGATGGTAAGTTTTTTTCAATTGTTAGTCTGATGATGGTGATGATTAGAATGGTGATGAAGCAGATGATGGTAGTGATGATAGGAGACGTTGTTTGTAATAACACTGTTAGTGTTTAATAAGATGGTTGTTAAAAATGGTGAATATTATATTGCTTTAAAGATAGAAGAATCTTGAATAGTATAGTATTATTGATTCAAGAAATATCAAAAACATTTTGGGAGAAATAATAACTATAAGTTAATGGGCTTATTGCCAATAATATAAGTTTTCATTCTACAGAATCCTCTGATGTATCAAGAAAATCCAGAGGTGTTCATAAACCTGCAGAACAGTTGAAGAACCCCAAGCAGCCGGAGAAACATGGTAGTGGTAGTGGTGTTGACAAAAAAGTTAAAAAACATCATTCGACTAGACGAGTGTCCATGTGCTTTATGGATTCAGAAGATGATGATGATGATGATGATAATGAGGAGGATAGGCCTAATGGAGATTCCTTAAGGAGAAATGATTCTAGATCACCGAAATGCCAAGAAAATGAGATTGACGACGTTATACCGGATTCATTTGAAAATAGCGATGCAATTAGTTTCTAGTTAGTTCAGTTTAGAATCCTTTGATGTGATGTTGTGAACTATTGGCTAGCTATTTTGATTTTTTAATGATTTCTTAATGATTTTTATGGTATATGGGATTTCATTATTTTATATGATTAAATTATAAAGCATCTAGATTTAAAAAAATATGATATGGAGAATAAATGTCATTGATCTTTTACAGTGTTATGTTTCCTGCCATTTTGTGTCCCCAAAACGCTTAGGAAACGTTTTTAACACAATTTTCAAAGAAAAACTTTCAAAAATAAATTTTCAAGAATAAATTCATCATCGAAATTGAAGCATTTTCATTTTTAATTTTCTAAAAGGAAACAAATTGATGAGTTAGTTGTAATGTAAACTATAATGTCCAAAAACACCCTCAAGTATGTGTATGAAGACAAACTGACCGGCATTGATTGGACGATCTTTTGATCGTTCCAATCACTCAATTGTTGATTAATTAATTAATTAATTAATTAATTAATGTAAATATTATAAAGCATCTAGATCAATGATGAGGAAGATAAGATCTAGATAGGTTTTTTTTAGAAAAAATAATCATTTGAAATATTTTTACACACAATAAGCGCGACCCCACCCAAGGGTGAGGAGAGTGGTGTTGATGGCGAAGATTCTCTCGAGAAATGTTGGTAGATTTTTATTCAATACACAAATCATTCCAATGCATCTCTGTTGCTTGTTTGCTTCACTTCGAGCTGCTTATTTTCTCCTGCTTTGCTTGTCATTTTTGTTGACGTTCATTCTGCTATGTCCATTGGTTTAAAATTTTTTTTAAAGTTATGTCCATCATTTTATCATTTATATTCATTCGTCCAATTATATCTTACAGTTCTGACAGCTCAAAAAGCTAAAAGTACAAAAAAGGTGTTTGAAGGCAAGCACAGAATGAACTCTTTCATCGTTGATGATGATGATGTGGAAGAGGAGGACGACGATGATGAGGAAGATGAAGAAGATGATGACGATAATGATGATGATGACAGTGATGTTTTTCTAATTGAGGATGTAACCAGCAAGAAAGATGTGAAGAAAAAATTTGGTTGCAAGAATTTGATAAGAGACTACATAATGTCCGACACTCCAGAAGAAGCAAGCTCACACAAAATCGAGGATAAAGGCCAGGAAAGTAAAAAGAATAATGATAGAAAGACTTTAGATGACGACAATGGCAGTGACTCCACCACACCTCACGTCAAAAAGACGGACCGCGTGATCAAACTCATCAACCAGCTGACGCTGACGGAATACAAACCACAAAAGGCAATCCCGAAATTTCAGAGCAGCAACAAATGCGCGTCCTTGGATGATGCTTCGCAGACATATTCATTCCTTCGTTCTCTCTCCAATGATGTGGATGACAGAATGAAGGATCCGGAAGCTAGAAGGTATTGTGTTTATATTCACTTTGTATTCACTTGGTATTTACATTGTGTTTACTTTGTATTTACTTGGCACCCACTTTGTATTAACTTTGTATTTACTTTGTATTCACATTGTATTCACTTTGTATTAATTTGTTGTCTATCCAGTTTATATTGTTTTATGACATTAAATTCATAAATTCCTCTTATCACGTTTTGATGTGTGTTTCTGACTTTTTTTGTTTGCTTATGTGTGTTTTGTATATTCATTGGTATGTAGTTTTCAATGATTGTTTTTTTTTTAATTATAGTATTTATCACAAAGTCCGGGTTAGATGTTTTTCATCTTGCTATTTATGATACATATGATTGAATATCAACATTTGTTGCAGTGATTAAACAACATTTTCTCCATCCTATTTGAACCAGATATTTTGTGTTTAGTTTATTTACTACTATTTAAGTCTTATAGAATTATACTTAAATTTTTAATTATGTGATATTTGAAACCAAGATACACGAAGAAGTTCAAACAGCTGAGGTCCGAACTGAGTGAGAAGTTGTTCAACTTGTACAATGAAAAAGTTTTCTTTAACAAGGTTATTTTACAACTCTCTTGCTTATTTAAACTCAAATCAGTCAACTAATCCATCTATCATTGAATCCTTCCATCAATCTATCATTTATTCATCCGTTCGTTTGCTGAATCTTTCAATCACCCACTCATCAATTTCATTAATTCATTAAACTTTTCAATAACCCCCCCCCACACACACCCCCTCACACACACACACCAACACACACACACTCACTAACTCACTTGGTGGTACACAGTTAGTACCATCGTGTCCATTGAAGTGGAACAAGAGATTGTTGAAGACAGCTGGTTACTGCTGCCAGTCAAGGAAGGGCAACTTGAGGAGTTTCAGAATCGAACTGTCCTGCAAAGTTTGCGATGATGCTGGTTCGTCCTCTCTTATGTCAATGATTTTGTTATTTCATTTAATTCTTAACTTTATTTTATTTATAAATTGTAATTAAGGCTCAATTTAATCAACTTTAATTTGTAGTTCGTTTAAAACTTCTGCATTAAACTCACGTACACATACATATGCACATACATACATAATTACATACACACAAACATACACAGACACACACATTCATAGACGCATACATACACAGACTGACCCACATACACATACAGACACGCATGCACGCGCGCACGCACAAACATACTCATACATATTAACACACGCACGCATGCAGAAAGACTGAGAGACACATTGATACACGAAATGTGTCACGCCATGGTCTGGATGCAGTATGGAGAGAGAGGGCATGGTGCCAAGTGGCAATTGTGGTCAGTCCATCATTTTATTCATTTATTAATTTTTATTATTTGTAATGAGTAACATGGGTAACATTTGAGCAATTATTTTTTGCATCATTGTTTGTTTGGATGATTATTAATTGTTAATTACTTAGATTTCGTCAATAAATTTTCTGCAATTGATTAAGCATTAAGGCTGTTTTGTTTAACCTGCTGAGAACCAAGCATGAAGCATTGTCGATACCTGTGTCAGTTTTACATGAGTCTTACAAGAGACAATAGATTCATTTGAATCATTATTATTTGTATTATTCTTTTTTTGATAATTATTATTATTATTATTATTGTGCATTATGTTAATTTTGTCATGAATTATAAATTTACTTAAAAATTGTGTTAGAATGAACAATTTGTGAACGGTGGCCTGCGACACAAGAATTTTGTTTTCTTTTAGCTTTGGTCTCCTAATCATTACCTAATTATTATTAATTTGGATTGATTGAATAAAATTTGATTTGATTTGATTAGTATTGTTATTATTATTGTTGTTGTTATTGTTGTGGTTTCTCCTCCACACAACAGGGCTCGCAAGTCTAACCTAACACTGAAAGACCTTCCCCCGATCACCAGGTGTCACTCGTACAAAATCACCACCAAGTTCACTTACCAGTGTGTTCGATGCTCATACAAGTACCGATGCCAATTTTTTTCCATATCTTCTTGTGATATTAATTCTAATAAATTTGGAATTATTAATTTTTATTAAAAAAAAAATTATAGACTCAGTTAAATTGCTATATTTATCATTCATAAACATAAATCCAAGCTAAAAATAAAATAATAATTATTATAATAATAATAATTATAATTATTATTATCATTATTATAATAAATTATTATTATATAATAATAATTATTATTATTATTACTATTTATTTTTATTTATATTAAACTCAGGGTAGGTAGGCATAGTCGATCGCTGAACACTGACAAACAGGTCTGCCCTTATTGCTACGGAACTTTCCAACTGGTAACCAATCAGAAGAATTCAAGTGACCCAGACAAAGGTATTATTATTATTATGGTTCTTCTCTTTTTCTTCTTCTTCTTATTATTATTATAATGCAATCAGCTCGTCTATGGATTCTACTGTGATAGAAACAGCGCATCACGATACCATATAAAATATATTTCATCACTCCTATGTACTTATCAATGATGGGGGTATCGTACGTTCTAATTACTTTTATTTTAACACTTCTTCAGATTTTAGTTATTTAAAATCTCTTTTCCACTTTCTTCATTTTATCTCTTTTAAATTATTTGAAGTATGTCTCGGAGAACTAAAATACAAAATATATGTTTCCATTGTAGTTATTCTTATTCTTCTTTTTCTCCTTCTTTTTTTCCTTCTTTTTTTCCTTCTTTTTCTCCATCTTTTTATTATTATTTATTATGCACCACAATTATTTATTATTATTATTTATTATGCACCACAAAAGTAGCTGTTGCCAGTAGGACACCGAACGAGTTCGCGAGATTCGTGAAGGAGAACTATGGTAGTCTCCGCAGTGGTCGGCAGATGAGTCACAAGCAGGTCATGCAACTCCTCTCCAGCAGGTATTCGGAAAAAAAACTCAATAATAATAAAAATAATATAAATAATCATAATGATAACGATGGTAATGAAGTGGACGTTAAGGGTAATGATTATAATGATGAAAAGAAATATGGTAGTAATGGCTACGATGATGATGACTGTGATTACGTCAGTGACGATGATGATGACGACGATGGTGAATTTCCAGTTGAAAAGTTGCACCTAGATTCTGATTAATATAATTTGTATTATTAAATTTTTTTTTACCAATATATGTTGTGTGTGCGTGTGTGTGTGTGTGGTTCTGCTTGTTTGTTCTCCTGTTTATAAACGACTGTGGATATTTAAGCGTGCGTGTTCGTTCGTGTTTGTTGCTCTGTTTTTTTTTTACTGTCGCTTGCTTTTTTGCAAGGTGTTCCTTTAATTCAACTCCAACAGATATTTTATTTAACGTGATGAACGTATTTTTAATTAATATATTACAAACATCACATATATAAATATATTATAAATTTTTTATTTCATGTGATGAACACGTTCTCAGAGAATATAATAAATGCTGAAAAGTTTATTTCGGTTTTCATTAATTTTTATTAAAGAATGTTAGTAAGCGAAATCGCTTCACAATTTTTCTTATATTATACACATTATTGAAAGCAGGGGCAATGTTAACGCCGCGCTTCTATCACAATTTGTAGATAAGACATGCTGTGGTTACAGGGCAAAAGCATAAAATTAGCATGTCATGATGAAATGAACTCTTCTCAGTCATCGTCCTTGTTCATTTACCATAGTTCAATTCCTTGAATTGAGTCACGCCATATTTACAACACAGGATTTTCAATTACAAGCGATTCAACAAGCTAGCGGCACAATATTGTTATTTAATACATCGCAACTGACTTCATAGCTGAATAACACAAAATTGGAAATTTAATAATTTGGAAATTGACAAACAACTATTATAGAAAACATTTCAGTTGAATTAGGACTACATGATGTGTAAATTATTATTTAATAATTGTTGCAATTTTTGTGACTATGATGAAGGTATGATGGCATGCGATTTTGATGATGAAGAAGTCACCATACCATGTAGTAGTAGTGTTCATGATGAAGGCACGATACCATGCGCTTGTGATGAAGCGATTTCACTGACAGTTTCATAAATGTTGATTGTATCTGCGTAACAGATTATTCTCGCGTGTATTTATTTGTTTGCCGGCACGTACAAATGAATGAACATGCGCAAATATGAATACAAGGACATTGGTGATGGTGAAAAGGAATAATTTTGGAAAATGGGGATATGGTTTTGGTGATGAGAATAATGATTGTAATTAAAAAAATTCCTGGCTTATGTTTTTTCATAAAAAGATATGACAATTTTTCGCACACTTGTAACATGGCAGAACGGTTTACAAAACATTTCTCAACCGTAAGAAGCCTGACATTTCTATCCCATTCACCCAATGATTAATGCCTTGCGGAAATCGTTCATTGCATGCACACAAACATTTCAAGCACCGCTGCCATTTGTCGTCATCCTCTCACTATCACATTCATACATTTTTCTTACTTTTTTTTAATCCACAAAATGTTGCTATTTTAAAAATATGATTAAAGGTTTCGTACAGTATTCTTTCATCATTTATCAGTAGTGTTTACTTAATTTACTTAAATATATTTCAAGGAAATAAAACATTTTAAATTTGCGGTCATTCCTGCAAGGAAACCTTGCCTCAGACAAATTTTAGCAGAAAATTTAGCAGAATTGGATTAATCGACTTGGGAACAGTGCATGATAGTAAACTATCTACAAGCAAAGCTCTTGCCGTTTCAAGTATCGTTGATGAAACAATGCCAATCGACGATGTTACGAAATTAATGGTGCTAAAAACCATAATTATCAGTTTGTGACAGAGACTTCTGTATATTTAAAAAAATGTGCCAGCTCTCTTATCAGACTGGCACATTTAGACATCGCAAAAATAATCTGGACATAAAGAAATTATCCGATTATCCGTTTCTGAAAATTTAAATTCCCGATTACGGGATTGGGAACGTCCTTGCCCGTCGGAAATTTTTGATACATCAGTTCGGGAACGATCGAAACTATCTTTAAAAGAATGTAAATTATTTTTTTACCATGCCAAACCAAAAAATCAGTACGGATTGAGTTTTGTGTTTGTTTTGAGAACTAATTTTTGCTACCGAATAGCAAGAAGAGTTTTTATTTTGCGTTTTTTTTCTCTAAATAGTTGATTATTCAAAATAAGATCAATAAAAACATTTTACATCTATAATAATAAAAATAATGCCACTTTATATAGCGCCACAACCGGACATCAACAATGCCAGGGAACTTAACCATTCCACCTTCGTATCGTACCGCCCAAAATTTTACGAAAATTTATTCAAATATAAATTCATTAAACATCCAAGGTCATTTTTAAGATCGCAAAATTGTGATAGAATTAACTTAAGTAATTTCATTAGGCAAGCATTTGTAAGACCAATTGTTTGAAAAGGACACTTATGGCATTTAATGTATTCAAAATTAAAATCGAATTCATCATCCACATTGGAAGGCCTTTCAGTGTTTTCATATGAAACTTTGTTCGTCACCAGTGCAGATTCATTGGAAGGTTTTTTCGTGGACATTTGAACCTCGAGAAGATCTGACTTCACCAAGTAAAACGTTTCATCTTGCGACAATGTTAACATTTGAGAATCGTCCGCAAGATCGCAAAAATTCTCGCAAACAAAATTTAACACTTTTTGATTACATCGTTTAAAGCATACGCATTTGCAAATTCCATGATACCAACCCACGTAGAATCATTCAAATGACTTACTTGCATATTGACAGATTGTTCCATCACGTCATTAGTTTGCAAATAAAACGGACAGTCAATTTGTTCTTCAACCTCGTTTAATTTCGTAACATGTTGGTCGTTCCAATCTTGCGCCTTTTTTTGCAGGTTTAAAAATATATTTGAGTCTATTAAACAGTCATCAGACAAATGTTTTAACGTCAGCTCATGGGAGCAATGTAGTAGTGTGAGATGCAAACATGAAGTAGAAATCAGACGATGATGAGCATACCAATAAATTAGAAGAGACGTCCAATAAATATTTCCAATGTATGAAGATTTGTTTGGTCAACTCTTGTCCTGGTTTTATGGCGGCAGTCCGTCCCTTCTATTCATTTGTCCAAAACGTCCATTAACTCAAATGCACAAGTTTGTGTGCCTAAGTCTTGTAAGCTATAACGTACAAAATGTAATTTATTTTTATAGATTTTTCAACTAAAAATATACATTTTCTTTCTTGTTTTTTCACTCTTAGTTTTTCTTTCTTTCTTTTTCTTTCCAAATAGTAATATTGGAATATTGGTGAATGCAACGAGTGTTTGCAGAGATAAGGCGAATGTACAGCACACGCTTGATGTATGAACGGCTGCTAATATCTTATAAATTATAAGCAGAATTAGCCAGCTAATACGTTGGGTGCCTATATCTATTATTTATTTTTCGTAATAATGAAATGCAAGTAATTACCAATTTATTATTATAGCCTAAAGTTTGGGCGGCGCAATTGTGTAATGGTTAAGGTGCCTGGCATTGCTGATGCAGTGTCCGGGTTCAACTTCAAAGAGATCCCCACCTGTCAAATGTGAAATGGGTGCGCTGCGCTGATTCACGTGTGTTTATGTGTCCGTTGTAGCAATAATAACACGCCTCAGACACTTGCCATGGCGCTATATAAAATGACATTAGTTTATTATTATTATTATTATTATTAAAAGCGTCTATAAAGTTATCACTTCATATTGATATTTATCTGGTGTCATTTGTTCGCTGCTGATGTCTTTGAAGTACTTTTTTTTCTGTTTTTATCGCAATCGGTTCATTTTGCAAACTATTCATTAAATTAATTTAATTAAAAATATATTTTGTATCGCTATTTACAAACTGATTTTGTGTCAACTTTTTAAAATTAAATAGTTTTGTGCATAATTTTTTTCCTTTTCTCTCTCTTTCTCTACTAACTTGCTTTTTAATAATTTTTTTACTTTTAATGCAAGTTAAGCCAGACCCATGTACAAGTTACCCTTGCTACACAATTGTAAATAAATTGCTTTCTTTGCATTAGATCAATGGCTGTCTCTAAACAAAATTATTTTTATATCGAAGTATGAAAAATTTTCGCCTGCGATTGTTAAAACAACCAAAGTCGGCGTCTTACCAGCATCAAAATGAAAAGTAATAATCACTAAGAAGGAAAATATTTTCACATCATTTAATCACTACGAAAATGTTTCAAGATACATAAAATTATGATAAAGATAATGACATTACTATTAAATATGAACGACACTTTTTAAATAATTTCAAAGTCAATGTTTAATAAGAGACTGTCATTACTGAACTGTTGTATAAAATTTAGGCTAAAAATTTACATGATACTCTAAGAATCTTGAAACCTGACTTATCGAAATACGTTTCATAACTTTTTGCCAATTTTACACCGTACACAACCTTCTGTCGGCAATAGGGACAGGAGTTCTTTCCTCCCATTTTCAACCACAAATCAATGCAATTAAAATGAAAAGCATGGTTACAATTCAATTCATGTATAAAACGTCCTTCAACAAATTTCTCTTTACATATTCCACAGTCGTCATGCAAAAATTTTCCTTTAATGTATGGCAGACGGTATCTCCTGTTCTTGGCTAAGTTTAAGAAATATGAATCTTCAACGTCTATAATTAATCGGCGGATGCCTTCTAATCTAATTTCATAGACGTACTGGCTGCTTAATGCATCACGCAGGGAAAGTTGCGTCTGATGTTCCTCACATTTATCGAATTCATAATCCTGCATATCTTTCATCAGTTGGTATTGGATGTCGACTGGAAGAGTACGAATGCGACTCAAGTACGAACTCTCGCTTTCTTTGTTTATTTCGTCTCCAATGATGCACTGTTCAAGATGAAGTAACGTCTGTCTCTCTAAGAGAATTATGATCGGAAGCATTTTAATTTCCTCCTTCGTCAAATTGTATTCCTTCATATTCTTATTGAGAAATTTTCTGTAGCGTTTTAGCTTTTGTTTCAGCTGGTATTCCAAGTAGTCATCGGTGTTTGATTTAATTTTCTTTTTCAGACGCTCCACAAAATGTGTACTGTAGAAAAAATCCATCTGAAACTGATTGAGACTATAATGAGGTGTCAGCTTTCATTAAAGTACAAAACTTTTAATTTGACAGATTTGGTTGAGTAGTTGACTCATTCAACTCTTCCAACAACTTCTCATAAAGCGTTTTACAATGGTTTGCTAAGTCACGAAGGCCTTTGAGCTGTGTTATCAGGCATTTTACAACTTTTATAACCTCACAAAAAGAGTTGGTTATTTATTTTATTTTTAATACCTACTAACTATAAATTAATTTTTTTACGATAAATTAACCTGATAATATTTGTTCAAATTTAGCAAAAAGTTTTCAAATTGAGATATTGAAAAATAAGAACCCGTAAAATTTTTACAAAGTTACGCGTTCAAGAGGTTAATTTCAAATAAAAAAATAAACATACAGAAATAATATTTTGCTGCAGTAAAATTATTTTTATAAATTTAGTTATTACACTTCGGTTTTAAATAGTTTTATTATATTCAATTCGCAAATTTTTTTCATTAAACTTGAATCACAAATCTTAATTTTTTAAAATTACTTCCGACAACATTTTCTCCGCCACAACTACCATTCTAGAATATAATACAACTTCAACAGGTTGCACATTTATTTTTACCACACTACCAACTTTCCACTTGCCGTGATTCAGTGATGGGCAAAGTTTAACTAATTAGTTGCAAACTAATAGTTTAACTTTTTTTTCGTAGTTTCATGTCTAGTTTGTTTGAAAATATAGTTCGGTTGAAGTGATAGTTTAACTAAAATATTTTAGTTTGCTCATTTTTCTCCATGTAAAGATTTATAGGTTTTAAAATGAGTTTTAAACTGAAAAATGCAATACAATTGAAGTTTATAATATTAATAAAGCCAAGTATATTTACACAAGCTGCTGTATAGGGTTAAATAAATATATATATAACAAACATATAAAGTTAAAATGACATAAAAAATATTTCAAATCAGAATATTTCTAAATTTACTATGTATAACGCATAATAATGTTCAACATGTTTTCTTTAATTATGATAGTTTTTTGAAATAAAATTATTTATTATTAGCCTAACAACATTTGTTATTCAATATATTTAGTATTTCCATTTTTTATTATTTTAAAAGTTTCCTAAGTTGAGCTTGAAAAACAAATATGACATTACATTACAAAAACATAAAGAACACGTGAATACTGATCTATTATTGTTATTAGAATGACATCAGTTGACATTAAGAACAGAGAGTGCCTCTCGTTTCATTGTGGACAGCGAACTATTCATTACTTACCTAAAACACGTATATAACGTATTTTTGTTCGTATCGTACCTACCTGTTAGAAAAACTTAAGAGAGGATAGTTTTAAAATATGACAATATTATCACCATTAAAATTATGAATAATTCTAAACGCTTTCTTGTCACCAGATAATTGAAAACGAAAATCTAGAAAGTTCATTTGCAAGCCTTACAATGTGTCCAATTTATCTACCGCGTATTTCTGACAATAGGACATGTACCTTCTTTCTACCTGCAGATGAATATAACCTCTCTCTTCTCTCTCTCTCTCTCTCTCTCTCTCTCTCTCTCTCTCTTTCTATGTACTGCAATGGTGTTTACAAATTCACACTCAGGATATTCATAGCATACAACCATGCAAACTACATCCTACATACATACATACATGCCTACCTACACGTGCATAATTTTTTATAATAAAACAATTTTTTATAGGTCTGCGTTTATCTGTTTGTGAAAAGAGTAAAAAAAATATGCAAAAATGAAAAAAAAATCAAGAAAAGAGAAAAAGGGAAGGGGAGGCAGAATTATCAGCGAACTCGAGCGTTACTACGCAATTGCCTGTCACATGCGTGCACACAAAAGCAGTTCGTGCACCTGGTCAGATAGGACGCGCAGATGACCCGAGTCCTTCAGGCCTGCTGTGCACGTTAGTGTACGAGGCATAGGTGTTGAGGATAAGAAGTGTTTGTTTGAATGTTCGTGTGTGCGCGCGCGCGCGTGTGTGTGTGTACGTGGGTGTGCTTATGTTTACGTTTGTGTGTGTGTTTAAATGTGAATGATTGTGTGTTTATGTGAATGATTGTGCCTGTTTGTGTAAATGATTAAAAAATAAGAGGTTTCGCCGGAACGAATACTTAATATGAAAACAGCCGTTTAAAGACAACTGATGAATTATTGAAATTTGATGAGAAACAAATCTTAAAAGTTTGTTTAACGAAATATTTTCAAAAAGGTGGAGGCCTTGATTTGTGTCACGTTCAGTGATGCTCAGCGTTGCGTGCATGTTTGCGTATATCAGGACCTTCTTGGTTCCTTCATCACTCACCACGCATGCATCTTCTCACGGAGGCACAGCTTAAATTGGATTCGCATTGGGAGATTTAATAACAATGTTTACTAAAAATTTTCACAATTTTATACAGCCATATATATATATATATATATGTGCCTGATTGTGCCTGTTGTGCCTGATATATATATATATATATATATATATATATATATATTATCTTCTATTTGCATCATTTCATATCGTTAAATCATTCTATGATTATCACTAAATCATAATGGCACGGGCACCTACTGCTTTAACCTCAACATCTTTCATTATTACAATCACAGGAGTTGGCACGTGAATTGCCCACTATTCACTCATAGGTGAGATCAACAAACACTCAAAACGGAATTTAAGGTAATAAAAAAAATAAACACATATAAATACCCGACATTCAATTAGGAATACAATTATACGCGTACGGAAAGCAAGTAAACACACACACAAGGACACACACACGCATTCACGTACACACACACACGCATGCACACATACACACACACACACACGTATGCACACACACACACACACACACATGCACGCATACACACATACACACACACACATATATATATATATACACACATACAAATACATACATGTATAAAATAGTATTGGCATGTATGTGAGAGTGTTTAGAGAGAATGACGCCCACGCAGAATCAAACGTTCAGGAGCTATTCAACAGCAGGGCAAACATACGCATGCAACGTTGTATATGTGTAGACTCTTTTTTTTTCACTTTCTCCCTCTTTCACTCCTTTTTTCTTTCTTCTTCTCTCCTTTACTGTCTCTCTCTCTTTCTCTCTTTTTTTCTCTCTCTAATAATATATATATTATTAGAGAGTATATGATAGTATATAGTATATACACCACTTGTGACGTATATTGTAGGCACGTTGATGCTAGTACAAAAAGGACTGAAGAAATCCAATCCGGAGTCAGTTGGATCTGAGAAGCTGCAACACCAGCGAGTGGAGAAGAGATGTTGATGGAATGAGTGAGGGTGATGTTTGTTGGTGTTTGTCTGTGTTGTTTGTTGGTGTTTGTCTGTGTTGTTTGTTGGTGTTTGTTGATGTTTGTCTTTGTTGGTTTTGGTGTTTGTCTGTGTTGTTTGTTGGTGTTTGTTGGTGTTTGTTGGTGTTTGTCTTTGTTGTTTGTTGATGTTTGTCTTTGTTGTTTGTTGATGTTTGTCTTTGTTGTTTGTTGGTGTTTGTCTGTACTGTTTGTTGATGTTTGTCTTTGTTGTTTTTTGGTGTTTGTCTGTGTTGTTTGTTGGTCGTTTTTTAATGGTACTTGGAAAGGTGACGTTTCTTGTTAATGTTTCCAGCTGCTCTATATTTTGCATGTCTGTTTTGATGTTTCTTTTTCCCTGCGTTTACTTTGGATTGTTTTTCTATATATTTTTTCTATTTTTGCATTTATTTTCATAATGTATTTTTTTTTAAATTTTGTTAGCGCGGAATTTGGGTACAGGTATTGAAATGTAGTACCTGGTAATGTTTGCCTAATTATATAAACACCCACAAGAATCAATATATATCTTGGAAAGTTTCCAGCATGGAATGGAACGAGTGTTTGAAGCCAGAGCTGTTCCTGCTTCAAGTGAAGTTTCTGTTTAGTAGAGTAACATAACAACAAAGATTTTTAGTGATTAAAGAAGACTGAGTCTGTGACAGGATTATTCAGAGATTTCAATATCCTAAGTGTGCCTCAAAGTTGTTAGTTGTTTCTGCGCATATTATATCATCTCCCAGTTTGTTCCACTCGTTGACAACTCTACAGCTGAAAAATTTTTGCTTTATTAATCCCGAGCTTCTTTTGAATAACTTATTTTTATGCTCCCTTGTTTTACTGTATAATGTTAGCTCAAAAAATTTTACCGATTCCAAATTTTTTTTCATAGTGATGATTTTGTATGCCAGAATCAAATCTTCTCTTGTTATTCTTTTTTAATGTTGTTAAACCACAAATATTCTATCTGCCCTCATATGGCATACCGCAACACTCCTTTATCATTCTCATTGCCATCCTTTGAATATTCTCGAGCATATGTTTGTCCTTTTGTCAGTCTGGATTCCAAAGCTGAACACACAGTACTCCAACATAGGTCAGACCAGTGCCTTTAGAGGTTTAATATGACGAGCATATCTCTGCTTTTTAATTTTCTCCTTTTCGTATACTTAAAAACGGTTTGACAACTTTATAAGTTACATTAATTGTTTAGGTCGTTAATAGTGAAATAAAATTTTAAAAGCTCTATAATTGAATTGAACTGTTTTGACGCCAAACAACATATTTTAATTTTCCGGATTTTGATGTTGCTAGAAGCATACAAATAGACCAACTAGATGCATTATGCACACAACAACAATGACAAAATTCAAAGGCACACACACGCACGCACCCACACACACACATGTAGCATGTCTACATACATATGGACGCATACAGACAGATACACAAATGTCTTGTTATACAGTATTTGTATATGACACACGTAGTAAGTTTAGCCATATAATGTTTAAGCAGATGCATATTGCAGAAATGGATGCATGTTCATATTTTGGCATGTCTACTTGGATGTATATATAAAGTGTGATGTTCTTTTGACTGTCATTCTCTCAAAAATTATTTCCAGCAAATATTCATAACTTGGTAGGCAGGTTGGTGTGTTGGCTGGTTGGTTGGCTGAATGGTTGATTGGTAGGCCGGTTGGTTAGTTGAATGGTTGGTTGGTTAGTTGAATGGTCGGTTAGTTAGTTAGATGATTGTAAAAATGGTTAGTCGGTTGCTTGGTTAAATGGTCAGTCGTTTTACAGGCTTTGTAATTATTAAGCTTAGTTGTTGGACACCTTGACTGTGCGTATTGTATTTATTTCTATATTTCAAGTCCACAAAGTCAAACAAAAAAGTTTATTTCGAGAGCAAAATCTTATCATCATGATTAGATCAATACACCATTATAAACTATTAAAGCTCATGTTATTTAGCAATAGAATTATGAAATTTCATGCGACCAAACCCATTGGTAATAAAATAGTGAAAATAATAATAATAATAACAATAATAATAATAAAATATTATTAAAATAATGAAAACATTATAAAAAAAGTAATTCATATATTAATACTTGGCCCTAAAATTTTTTTACTTGTAAAATATCACACACATCGAGGCGCATTGTTCTTTTTCAGGGTCTCCACATCAGACAGACAG